GCTGCAGCTCCATCAGCCCCTATGTTAATCCGGCCCTGCCTACTGCTCTCTATCTATACTGCCTCCCTTGGTAAACTTATTAGCTCCTTTGGCTTCCAATATCATTTCTATGCGAATGACACAAATCTACCTGTCCTCTCCTGATCTCTCCCTGTCCCTCTTGACTAGTGTCTCTGACTGCCTCTCTGCTATTTCTAACTGGATGTCTGCCCACTTCCTTAAACTCAACTTGACCAAAATTCTAGTCTTTCCTCCCTCAAGTGTTGCTACTCCTGTGTCTGTCTCCCTCCAAGTCAACGGTGCTACCATCAGCTCCACCACGCAGGCTCGCTGCCTAGGTTTTCTCTTTGACTCCGACCTCTCCTTCAAGCCTCATGTACAGTCTATCGCCAAATCCTGTTGTTTCCATCTCAAAAGCTTTGCGCGCATCCACCCCGACTTAACGCCAGATGCGACTAAGGTGTTGGTCCATTCCACTATCCTTTCTCGCCTTGACTACTGTAATCTGCTTTTCAGTGGTCTTACGTTCTCCTGACTTGTGCCGTTAAAGTCCATAATGAATGCGGCGGTGAGGCTCATCTTCCTGTCTGCCCGCACCTTCCACTCCTCGCCTTTCTGTCAGTCTCTACATTGGCTTCCTATAAGATATAGAGCTCAATTTAAAATTCTGGTTCTTGCTTTCAAATCTCTTCATAATGCTGCTCCCACCGATCTATCCTCCCTTATACACAAGTATGTCCCGTCTAGGCCCTTACGCTCTGCTGAAGACTTCCATCTGTCTGTACTCCCACCTCTGATGCTCGCCTTCAAGACTTCTCGAGGGATGCACCATTCCTGTGGAACTCCCATCCCTCCTCCGTTAGATGCTCATCCAGTCTCCACTCCTTCAAAAGATCATTAAAAACCCACTTCTTCATAAAAGCTTATCAATTAAACTGTTAATAGCTCCCGACTGATTCCTCTCTTGCAAGTGTCATTAATAATACTATCCTTACCTTTTGTGTCACTTTACCCCACTCCCTCTAGCATGTAAGCTCATTGAGCAGGGCCCTCAACCCCTCTGTTCCTGTGTGTCCAACTTGTCTGGTTACAACTCCATATTTGTTAGTCCATCCTACAGTAAAGTGTTGTGGAATTTGTTGGTGCTATATAAATAATAACATAATAATAAGATAAAGGGTACGTAACACTGGTGGCAACAGCTCTGGGAAATTAGTTATTGCCTTTTCCTGATATATAAATTGTGTTGTTTTTTTTCTGTTAGATAAACTGTTTACATGATAACAAAGGATTAATCTGAATTAGTAATGCAACAAAAGCTCCCCCTCTATTTTAAAACGAATCTCTTTAGTCTTGTTTTTATTTTCATACATCATCTTATGTATAATTATACATATAATAAAGTAGGTACTCTTTCTCATGGGGGCATCATCAATGGCAAGGAGGGATGGAGTTTCATTAAAGGCGGGGAATATGGGTAAAGTGAATATAGAAAACCACATACATTTATGAGCTGCTGGCCAGCTCTGGAATTATAACGTGGGTGGAAGAATCCTTGCCTAGGGATGTATAAATGCTTTTCTTGGTAAGTAATGATCTTCAACAAATTGATATATATGCAAAACAGAGACAGAAGCAGTATATAGTGCAGCATAGTACAGTATTAAGTAAATATGATGATTTATATGATAATAATATGATAATATATAATAATGCACTCACATGGTAAAGAGCCCAGTATAGCTCCAGTAAAACAGCATACAACGGTATGATCCCCTAAGTTATTTTCAGCCAAGGAGGGCCCATGTACTAATATCTTAATAAATATAAATAAAGGCACATATTTGTGAAGATACAAAGGGCAAAGAAAAAGAAAACTGGAAAGAAACAAACAAACAAAAACATGAAGTTGCAAGCTCCTGCTCACTGCAGAGTGGGAACACGATGGGACACAGTGGGAGGGAATCCTAGGGATAGAGATATTTGTCCTGCTCACTGCGGAGTGGGAACACCATGGGACACAGTGGGAGGGAATCCTAGGGATAGAGATATTTGTCCTGCTCACTGCGGAGTGGGAACACCGTGGGACACAGTGGGAGGGAATCCTAGGGATAGAGATATTTATCCTGCTCACTGCGGAGTGGGAACACAGTGGGACACAGTGGGAGGGAATCCTAGGGATAGAGATATTTGTCCTGCTCACTGCGGAGTGGGAACACCGTGGGACACAGTGGGAGGGAATCCTAGGGATAGAGATATTTGTCCTGCTCACTGCGGAGTGGGAACACCATGGGACACAGTGGGAGGGAATCCTAGGGATAGAGATATTTGTCCTGCTCACTGCGGAGTGGGAACACCGTGGGACACAGTGGGAGGGAATCCTAGGGATAGAGATATTTGTCCTGCTCACTGCGGAGTGGGAACACCGTGGGACACAGTGGGAGGGAATCCTAGGGATAGAGATATTTGTCCTGCTCACTGCGGAGTGGGAACACCATGGGACACAGTGGGAGGGAATCCTAGGGATAGAGATATTTGTCCTGCTCACTGCGGAGTGGGAACACCGTGGGACACAGTGGGAGGGAATCCTAGGGATAGAGATATTTATCCTGCTCACTGCGGAGTGGGAACACGATGGGACACAGTGTGAGGGAATCCTAGGGATAGAGATATTTGTCCTGCTCACTGCGGAGTGGGAACACCGTGGGACACAGTGGGAGGGAATCCTAGGGATAGAGATATTTATCCTGCTCACTGCGGAGTGGGAACACAGTGGGAGGGAATCCTAGGGATAGAGATATTTATCCTGCTCACTGCGGAGTGGGAACACGATGGGACACAGTGTGAGGGAATCCTAGGGATAGAGATATTTATCCTGCTAACTGCGGAGTGGGAACACGATGGGACACAGTGGGAGGGAATCCTAGGGATAGAGATATTTATCCTGCTCACTGCGGAGTGGGAACACGATGGGACACAGTGGGAGGGAATCCTAGGGATAGAGATATTTGTCCTGCTCACTGCGGAGTGGGAACACCGTGGGACACAGTGGGAGGGAATCCTAGGGATAGAGATATTTATCCTGCTCACTGCGGAGTGGGAACACAGTGGGAGGGAATCCTAGGGATAGAGATATTTATCCTGCTCACTGCGGAGTGGGAACACGATGGGACACAGTGGGAGGGAATCCTAGGGATAGAGATATTTGTCCTGCTCACTGCGGAGTGGGAACACCGTGGGACACAGTGGGAGGGAATCCTAGGGATAGAGATATTTATCCTGCTCACTGCGGAGTGGGAACACAGTGGGAGGGAATCCTAGGGATAGAGATATTTATCCTGCTCACTGCGGAGTGGGAACACGATGGGACACAGTGGGAGGGAATCCTAGGGATAGAGATATTTATCCTGCTCACTGCAGAGTGGGAACACGATGGGACACAGTGGGAGGGAATCCTAGGGATAGAGATATTTGTCCTGCTCACTGCGGAGTGGGAACACAGTGGGAGGGAATCCTAGGGATAGAGATGCTTGTCCTGCTCACTGCAGAGTGGGAGCACCGTGGGACACAGTGGGAGGGAATCCTAGGGATAGAGATATTTATCCTGCTCACTGCAGAGTGGGAACACCGTGGGACACAGTGGGAGGGAATCCTAGGGATAGAGATGCTTGTCCTGCTCACTGCGGAGGTTAATAGAAGAGTTAAGTAAAAGTTTAGAAGACCTTTATTTGATTATATTCATGGTAATCCATCATATGCACTAAGACGTGAATTTCAGCATGGGCGTCACCTTTATTTGAAAAACTAATTTGGGAACCATGTCAATGTGTCATCAACAATAAACGTTTAAAAGGTTGTATTTAAAACTGTCTGATGAAGAACGTGTCAGGCCGTCACTGTACAGAGCAACCAATGTTTATTTAAAGACTATTCCAGGGAATCAGGAATCTATCGGGAAATCTTGCGACAAAATAAATGAATTGGAAAAATTCTACAACTCCTCTCCAGCTGTGCGAGTTTAATCATAATTTGACCTTTCTTTTGTTAATCCTCACAATTCCCATAAATAACATTGTATACATTCAGTGGAGATGTTTCTGGTTGGCCACTAGGTGGCAGCAAACAACAATGACTAGAGATGATGTAACAGCAGTACATAGCTCTGTAATTAGATGTTTTATAGATACTGTTGTAGTTCGTAAGATTATATTAATTATAAGGCGTGAATGTATTCTTTCAGAATGAAAATAATTCTCTATTTATAAAAGGAGTGGTACATTTTGGAAGTAACTTTTTTCTCACCTAAACATAGGCACAATACTATCCAAAGAGCAAGGACATAAAGTTACATTTAGGAGTTAAATCACTTTGTTTCTGTTTATGCAGCCCTAGCCACACCTCCCCTGGCTATGATTGACAGAGCCTGCATGAAAAAAAATTGATTTCACTTTCAATCAGATGTAATTTACCTTAAACAATTGTATCTCTTTCTTTGTAAATTGAACTTTAATCACATACAGGAGACTCTTGTAGGATCTAGCAAGCAATTAACATAGCAGGGGATATGAAAATCTAAATTAAATAGAACTTGCAATAAAGAAAGGATAAACGTTATATGACTCTTTACAGGAAGTATTTAGGAAGGCTGTGTAAGTCACATGCAGGGAGGTGTGACTAGGGTTCATAAACAAAGTGATTTAACTCCTAAATGGCAGAGATTTGAGCAGTGAGGCTAAAGGGGCATGTTCTATACACCAAAACTGTTTCATTAAGCTAAAGTTGTTTTGGTGACAATAGTGTCCCTTTAATGGATGTGTTGGGGCAGCCTAGATATCTAAACAGTAGCACCACTTGTGGAGCAGCATGGGAAAAATGACAAATTACTGGCTGTATCCACGGTAGAACATTAAAAAAAATATGTAAGGATATAAAAAAGTATATGTACATTTGCATGAACTTATAGAGAACAAACAAGAGACATTAAAATAACGCAACAGCCACAATGTGTACCAGTATAGTCTTTATTGAATCACACACTCTTATTAATATAGAAAGGGATCGTATTTACCCCAGATAGATGGCACTGTGGGACAATGTCATACCCCTATACTCATCAGAATATCTATTTACTTTAATTGTGTGATTGTGAAAGTTCGACAAAACAAAGTACACAGAATGTGTTAAGAAATTTCCACGGGATCCCACGGCATTAAGAAAATTTGGCAAACTCTTTGTATAGCTTCTAATATTGGCAAATAGCACAAGTTTTATATCCGCAAATGTTACACTAGGGATTATTTCAATGGAATGATTTGAGTTTAAGTGAAACATTCCCTGCTCGATTGTAGAACTGCTGCAGAAACCCCCAGGTGTTAACTCGTAACATGATTGTAAAGTCCCTCACTGTCTGCTATGAATCCATATTGAGCACTTCATATTGCTCTGCAGGAGCGTGAGGGATGTGATATTGCATAAATAAATGTATGTAAAACAATACTAAACAATATGAGAGCCTTTATGTTTAATAAGGATTTATAGCACTGTGGTGCTATCTATAGTTAGCTCATGGTTTTAACATATAAACTGACAGAATAAAAATTCCCAGTTGTGTCCCAGGGAAGTCTGGGTCCTAAAGAGATAGATGGAATTCGGCATGGCCAAATCACGCATAATGGAAAATATATTATGTGCCAATAATGACCGGGTGAATTGAATTTGTTCTAATGTCCCAAGCTGAAGGAGTAACTTTGACCACTGGGAAATCATCCAGTATGTATCAAACCCAGAGGGACTGCCTCTTTGCACCATAACTACTAAAATAAGCTCTATAATAATCAGCAGTTCTTATCGCACTTGTTGTGTTCCTTTTGCCCCCTACTTTTTCCATGGGAGCCCTGCACAGCCCACCCAGCATCGACATTTAGACATAAACTAAACATGCAAAGGGGAATTTTTATAAAATATATGTCAGCATATTAACCCATAAAGAATGAAGAACGTTCTATGCAGGTCCCAGTTTTTTTTTACCATGTCCTTACTACATAGCTCTCGTTGTTGGTTAAAAATGTTACGTGTTGTCAGTCAGTTCATGTTTGATTTTCCTTTCGCAGGAAAGATAGTTTGGAGAGTAAAGCAAAAAACAAACAAACCGGGAGCCGGCCTCAGTGAGTATTTCTTTAAAAGAGGCCATGTTGCTTCTTCATGTTCTGCTGCTTCCATTTGGGCAGTTGGTAAAAATTGGCTTTTGGCATTCCCATAATCTTGGCAAAATCTTCATCAGATAAGTAGAACTACCATAGCAAAGGAATAGAAAGGGGCATTAGTACCCAATGCTATTGATGCTAAATAGGCACAAAAATACCCGCTGTTATCAAAGCTTATTTGGTACATGAATATACCCATATTTATTGATGCTAATTTTGGTATCGTTATATACACTTTGCCCTTTGACCTGCCCTTTAACTCCCCCTGAGCATCTTACCTCCTTTTTAGAGGGGTCCACTCCATCAGGAAGTTCTTCAGTGGTCTTGTTAAGCAGCAGGGTTTTGTCAAACCATTGTTCACCATTGTTTGCTGGCGCTGGAGCTGGTGTTGGCGCTGGCTCTGTGTACTGGTTCTGTGGTACACTGCCATTGGTCTGTGCAAGATTACCGTTGCTGTATTGCTGGTTCCCATTAGTGGTCCCCATAGGGGGGGGTGGTGTGGCATTTCTGTAATTCTGGGGCGCTGCGGGGGTGCTGGATTTGTTCAGGTTTGTGTTTTGTAAATCCTGGAGAAAGAGGCTTTGGTTTATTATGGACAAAAATGAATACATTGCGTTCTACAATAAGCTGGGAGTGTCATTTTATACCGTTCACGCCACTGGTCCTTGGCCGCAGACTGAATGGATCCACACAATGGTTGCAGAGTAGTTTAGATACGTTTTTACTGTATCTGACTATTGATATATGGCTTAAATGTCATAATGAAAAGACCCAAGTTTGTTGCCAGACCAGACTCTGGCATTGAAATAAATCATCTAGTCTGAAAAAAAGTCATTGTTTTAATGTGTTCATGGTGTATGATAATACATTATTATACACCATGAACACATTATTGTAGAGCGTATTGTAGTGGTTATGGTATAACATCTAATTTTCTGTGGTTAATAGATAAGAACAGGTTCTATAAGTAAAACATGGAAAATAAACAACAAAACAAAGTGTAAGAGACACCATTTTCTCTAAGTAGGTTTCTGCATTTAGTCTATATCTTCAAGAACAAAAGGAAGCTATGTGATTAGTATATCAGACATCCAACCGTTCACCCCATATAAACTCACCACATTTATCTGTGAAATAGCAGAGACATCTCCCAGATTCTTCTTCATGTCCTCATACGACAAGTCAGACTAGGACGAAATAGAGAATTTTGTCAAATTTGTGAAACTATCATTATTAATATTATTGGCATTTTTAAAACGCTAACTTATTCCACAGAGCTTTAAAATAAAAGGGGGGTATTTAACAACAAATGAGACAAACTGTTACAAATTGTGACAATGTTGACGATGACCCTGCTGAAAGAACTTTACAGTCTAGAGATGGTGAGGTAGAAAAACTTAATAGGAAGGGCAACACGGGGGATAGTAAACTCGGGGTGGGACAGTGAAAGATGTGGAAGGTCAGAGTGACGTGGAAAATGGACCCACTAATTAATTTGAGAGAGTAATGACAGTTACCCTAGAAGGCCATAGGCTTTTCTAAAGAGGCATGTTTTAAGGGACTTCTGAAAGGATTGAAAACAATTCGATAGTCTGATAGGTGGAGGCAGGCTGTTAAGGCCATAGCAATGTAGCTTCCAGGAGAAAGTCCCGTAAGCACAAGGAGAAAGTCCTGTTAGCAGTATGAGAAGATCAACAGACAGGAGAAGGTAACCAGCAGGGGAGTGGCGTAGCGGGGGTGTATCTATGAATTTGAAAAGAAATGTAGCATGGGTAGAGTTGTTGACTGCTTTGTAGGTTAGACATTGAATTGAATGTTACAGAGACCCAATGTAATGATTGGCAGTGAGGGTAGGTGTGAGAGGAGCGACAGGAGAGATAAGTCAGTCTGGTGGCAGCATTTTTAACATTCTGCAGTGGGGCAATAAGGTTTCTAGGGAGAGTTACCATAATCAATGCCAGAGATTACTAGAGCATGGACAAGCCCCTTAGCAGCATCTCGAGTAAGAAAGGGCGGCCGTGGCAGTGTTAAGGAGCTCAGTAATGCATTTAGCTTTTGCTAAAGTATGTCCTGGGGTATAGATGATATTATTACCCAACTCAATGGCACTCATTTTATTGACCTTGGAGATGACTACACTGGGATCAAATGGAAAGTTTAACAGGTAATAAACCTACATCAGACGCACATAGCTGTACCCTTTGCCACTTCTGTTTTGCTGCCCTTTATATTTATTTAAAAAGTAATACATTCAACATGTAATATGTTCGAAAAGACAAGATGTTTTTTCATATTCAATGTGACAAAACTTGTCATTTACACTTTTAATAAGTTAATAATATTTAATAGTTTAGTGTGTACAGCTAACAAACATAATAAATATAGCACTGATATAACAAATGTATCCGTTACACGTATTGCCTTATAATCTTTGCTTACACTCCATTTGTGAGAGTCCCAGGCATTGAACCAGCCAGTGAAGGTGGGGGGCTCATGCCCCTGTTTCACAGTTACAATGGGGGTAGCTTGGTCCCTGCCAGCTGGGTGGGATTTCAAATACTCCTTTGCAGAGGTGAGTGACTCTTGCTTTTCATAGTCATTGGCTGATCTACCGATCCACAAGAAGAGCTGAAACAACAGAATTAGATATGATCTGTCAGATAACCGGTTATTATAACATAAGAGACATTATTAATAGATAGAATAATTCACTCATCTTTGAGATATCACTCATAAATAGCCATGTCAAAAGCTTTCATGTGTTCCTCCACTGACTGAGTGGTTTATCCTATGTACAAAGGTGGACATATCTTTGCTCCCTACACCTTGAATACTGGAATAGGATGAGAATAACATGTATTTAGAAATACTACGGGGCAGAAATATTTCCTGTATGTTCTATGGTACTTGTTCCTATTGTTTTGAGTTACAGGTTAGGGCATGTTCCTAGCCCCCCAAAGTCCCACCAAGCTTAGGTCAAGAATTAAAGCAGCAATTTTGGAATTCAGTGTCAAGATGACTATTCTGAGGTAGCTATAGACTATACACAAGGCCCCCAGGGTATTTTGGTTTTATATTCTGTTGTCATTTTTGAGTCGATTGCACACACAGTCTTGGGGTCAAACCACAGTCTCGGGATTATTCACAAGAGCCAAAATGGCAAATTTTTGAATAAGATAGATAAACTGTGATTATATATCTGTTGGAGAAATTTTTTTCTGATCAAGTATTTTGGCCTAAATGTTACTATTCAAATTTTTATTTGCTGCATGAAAGCCTCTGTTTGCCGGATTCATACCTGTTTGTGTATGAAAATGTGATTTAATGTGTTAAGCGGATCTTCTACCTCTGGGTCTACTGTCTATGTGCAAATGGATTGCTTACACTTAACATGTCACCTGTAATTCAATAGATATCCCCTCTGGTTTTCCAGAAGTCTTTGTACCCATCTAGCTATCTCTGTGATAAGCCTACATCAACGCCCACACCAAGTAACGTACACCTAGATAATCTATCCATGAAGTGTGCTAAGCTTCCTTGAATCCCTTATGTGATTCTGGATAAGGTGTATTGAAAAACAAGATCACAATAATCTAATTTACATTAAATGTGAAAGTATTGTCTAGGAGTCCGTATTATTCAGTTTCATGACTACATAATAGTTTCTGGCAGAGGTGCTCGGCTGATACCCAATACATATCCTAAAGGTCCAAAAAGCTGTAGAGTCTATAGTATAGCAGACATTTATTATACTACAACTTTCTGGTTGACTAAGGGTTGACTAAGGGTTTGACTGTGACTCAATGCCCAAGGAGATTTTGTCTTCCTTCAGGTGATAGGAGGACCTATCATTTGGGTTGTCTCCTGGTCTTAATCAATAAAAAAATATTTATTTAATTTGGAAACAAGCTGCCCATTTTCTTCATATCTTTGAGTTGTAATCGGTGAAGGGGAGTTGGGGGGCATCATTACGCACTGACCTCTTCCCAAGTGTCCAGTAACATTACATCATCCTCATCAAGGTCACTTTGAGCGAAATCGACTACTTCTGTCATGATGAAGCGACCAGTCTGATTGGAGCACTCAAAGAGTCGTGGTTTGTAGCGCACAACACTTTCCTCGAATCTGAAATAAAAACAAAACAAACACACAAACAAAACAATTAATATGATAGAAGAAGGTCAACTAACTCATCAAATTATATCTATTGATGAAACAGAACTATTTCGGTAAATTAGAAATGTCTTCTTCGAATTTGATCATGGTTTTAGTGCTAAACCTCCAGATTGCCAGAAGTAAAATATATAATTCATTTTGTGTATAATTCAGAATTGTCTGGTACCAGATTTTAGAAACAGAGCTGTCATTTGTACGTTTGTCAACTGGAGGGGCACTGTTTTAGTAAGTTCTCCAAGACTAGTGCTACGTGGCATGCATTTTAGCTAATGAGTTCTTGCACCGTTTAATAGTAAATTGGGATGTAAATGGTCATAGAAATCATACAGGTGCTTAAATCAGGCTAAGACATACTATGGTGTAATTAAATCACAGCTGTCCTATTTCTACAGAATTTGATGAATTGATTGAATGACTAATAAGAGATAAGAGAAGGAACATGAAAAACTAACACAAGGAAAATCATTGATAAAGAAATGTATCAAATTGTATAGAAACATCTATCTTTCCTTTTCAAGTATCTGTCTAATTATCTACAGGGTGGGAGTTACTCTCTTTGCTGCCACAAGGCCAGTTTCCTCAATACACACCCGCAGTCCCTTCATTTATACATGTTTATTAAAGCATGTGTGTTATAGTAATTTTATACTCAGCTTGATATATACAGGTATATATATAGAGCATGTATCACATATTAAAACAATACACATATGCTAATATTTATACGTACATATATACATATGCATTATACTCTCCCAAAATGTAAAAGTATTCATTTTTGTAAGACGTTAGCCTTTGTGAAGACCTACGCACAATTACACACATACACACTGACCCATGCAGACACACTCACACTGACCCATCTGTCTAATTATCTACAGGGCGGGAGTTACTCTCTTTGCTGCCACAAGGCCAGTTTCCTCAATACACACCCGCAGTCCCTTCATTTATACATGTTTATTAAAGCATGTGTGTTATAGTAATTTTATACTCAGCTTGATATATACAGGTATATATATACAGCATGTATCACATATTAAAACAATACACATATGCTAATATTTATACGTACATATATACATATGCATTATACTCTCCCAAAATGTAAAAGTATTCATTTTTGTAAGACGTTAGCCTTTGTGAAGACCTACGCACAATTACACACATACACACTGACCCATGCAGACACACTCACACTGACCCATGCAGACACTCACACTGACCATGCAGACACACTCACACTGACCCATGCAGACACACTCACACTGACCATGCATACACACTCACACTGACCATGCATACACACTCACACTGACCATGCATACACACTCACACTGACCCATGCAGACACACTCACACTGACCCATGCAGACACTCACACTGACCATGCAGACACACTCACACTGACCATGCAGACACACTCACACTGACCCATGCAGACACACTCACACTGACCCATGCAGACACTCACACTGACCCATGCAGACACACTCACACTGACCTATGCAGACACGCACACACTGGACATTTTTTTTGCACCAGGAGAAAATGTAGCTCATATTATTTTCTACTCATATGCAGACACACTCACACTGACCCATGCATACACTCACACTGACCCATGGAGACACACTCACATTAGTCTATGCAGACACTCACACTGACCCATGCAGACACGCACATAGTGTACCATGCAGACACGCACACACTAACCCATGCAGACACACTCACACTGACCTTGGTGGACACGGGTGACTAACCACTGGGCTAGGCCCCCTCTGCCCCCCATACATGTGAGGAGTAGAAGGTCACACTGGGGTTATTTCAGCAATTTGTACAGTGATTCAGCAGTCCACAGGGAAGGAGAATAAGCAGGTCTGTAGTTTTTATGGCACTGGCTGGCCACTGCACACACTGCTACAGCGGCCAGCTCCCTCAACATGGGAATGGGCTGGCTATGAGGGAAATGTTTTATCTCCCACCGGCCGTGTTACCCCTTTAATGAATATCGATATGTCTGTCTGCATATATTACGAAGGAGGAGAAGATGAAACACAGAGAATTCAGGGAAAAGATAACCAGTAATCAATATGAAGATAAAGCTAAAATATAAATAATAACAGTTCGATCAACATCACATATTTATGTCATTGCATTTCTATATATTTTACTTCTTTCACAGTATTCATATATTTGAAAATGTCTAAACTAATCTGCATTTATACATGCGCAGTATAAACCACTCCAAGGGTGTTAATGCAGATACAGAGTTACATTTATTTCTGGCTTTCCAACACAGAAATAGTATTTTACTTTACTCTTTCATCTTTAGTGATCAGATGCTCTGACTAAATTTTGGGTAAATGACACTGTATTTCTTAACCTTTTGTCGCTGGAATAAGGAACTTTCCCTCCGAGGGCCACCCAGAATTCAGCCGGTTCCTGACCCTCCAGAACGGTTTGTTTGTCCTGTTTGGAGATAACATCTGCCACATTCTTCGCCATCTCTCGTTCATCTCCGCTGCAGCCCTATTGATCATTAACAATTGTTAAAAAATATTGTTAGCGATTTTCACTGAAATAAAATCACAACTAGCACAGAGATCTCAGTGTACAGGGAGTTAAATAATAAGGTATAAGGCAACAGGCCAAAAGCAAAAAAAATAAATAAATATCAGGACACGACTGCAGCCTTGGTGTACATAACGTTCCTCAAAGATTCCCTCTACTGTCCTTGTGTCTGTAGCCTGACTGTATATCTCGTTCATTCCCATCTTTCTTCTATCCTCCTTAGTCTAAACGGACTATCTAGCCATTCATCATCTTTCCTCCAATGGACCCTCTTTAATTGTAATATTGGACTGTCTCTCTGACTCTATGACTTCCCAGTTCTCTCAGTTTTTCTCCAATCTGTTGGTATATCTCCTTGACTCTGCTCTTTGCATCTTTTCTCCATTCTGCCTCTCGCATTCCTTAAACCTCATCCAGTCTCTGTCCTTTTATATTGTGCCATGGCTCCTCAATGGATGGCTATGCCCAACTGAGCTTGCAGTCATTTTTTCAATTGTCTAAATTTTTCTCAAAAAACATTGCCATGAATGTATGACCTTGTGAGTTGCTTAAAAGATGCACATTGGGCTGTTAATAGATCAAACAGTTTTATTACCTTTCCACACCATAAATAGCAAACTAAATCCGTTTTTAAGACAAAGACATCATTGGAGTTAAGGGACGCTGCTCTAGCTGGAACTTCCGTGGCCTTGGTGTTAAATTCATCCGTTCCTCTGACTTGGAATAATCGAATTGGTGGTTCCGGCTCAGTCTTCTCAGTTCGACTAGTTCCTCCCTAATTCATTCAAAGAATAAACATAACACTTTGATCAGTTTATCACCTAAGAAATCGTGTTGTATTTGCAACATTATATAGCACCTCAAAAACTGCAACGACTATTGTTTTGACAATTGTTAATACGGAGAGAAGTGAAAGTTTAAAACATCTTTTTATGGACTATTCAAGTTTTTTAAAGAAAATAGATCACATATTATTCTTCATTATCAAATGATAGTTAATCTATGCATGGTTGGGAGCAGTTACATATATGATTTAATCACTGTAATTTAGGTATATTGATAAGGAAAAATAAAAGGAAGATTTGGAAATATTTAATAATGAGAGCTAATGAAAGAAAAATTTAAAAAAAACCTTCTTGTTCTAAATGTCTATTAGGGTACATCATTACAATGTGTTAGTTGCCTTGATTGTTGTTGGTGTTTTGTTTCGTTGGTGTTTTCGTTACTTTCCCTGGTAAGCGGGTTTGTCTATTATATCTTAGTGGTTGTAGAATTTGACGTGAAACATTTTAACTGGTTATGGGGAGAACAAAAAATTTAGGATGTGAGGAAACAACCCGACTTGTCTTTTATTTCATGACATTTATATCTAAAATTCTTATTTAACCTTTCTAAGAAATCTTATGTTACGCAGCACTGATAAATACAAACACAATATCTCTTGTCTCATGTTAATGTCTATTTTGGTTTGTATATCATTTAGGTAAGACTTAGAATTGGGACACTTAGGAAGATAATGTGGGAAGTTTGAAACAGAATGATTTAAATTGAAAGACTTACCCAAAGAGGGATTATAAAGACAGAATAAGGTTCTGAGTACTTGGATGGATGGGGGAATTACAGAATATGAATAACCAGGGTCTCCACAGAAGATGACTAACCAGGGCCACCACAGAAGATGACTAACCAGGGCCTCCACAGAAGATGACTAACCGGGCCTCCACAGAAGATGACTAACCAGGGCCTCCACAGAAGATGACTAACCAGGGCCACCACAGAAGATGACTAAGCAGGGCCTCCACAGAAGATGACTAACCAGGGCCACCACAGAAGATGACTAACCAGGGCCACCACAGAAGATGACTAACCAGGGCCACCACAGAAGATGACTAACCAGGGCCACCACAGAAGATGACTAACCAGGGCCACCACAGATGAAGTTAATATGACATGAACGAGTGGCCTGCAGTAAACATTCTGTAATACTATGTCAGTAATAGTCACAGTCATGAGGGCATTGTATAAATATTACCTCGTATATAATCATCTTTCCCTTGAAGATGGCTTGGAAATGTTTAGGTTCTTTCCCCATGGTCACTCGGATTTGGACTGGCTGGTCTTGGTACTTGCGATCCAGTTCTACGGCATGGAAGGCACACGCCGTGATTTCATCTTGAGATGCGTGACGTCCCTGCAACACATGGAGACTTGTTCAGAATACCACTGATTAGCCAATATGGTACTGGATAAATGAGTTGCTAACTTTACACATTTCAGAGAGCGTGTACAAAAGTGGAGAATACTGTTCTTGTTAGCGTCTCTGTCACTTGTAGGGTCCTCTGTTTTTTGTGAATATCTCCCAAGGTGATTTGTGCACTTATATTGTGGTGGCTGGATCCCACATCTTCAGACCACTATGCTTTTTCGGCTCCCGGTGGCCCCAGCCACCAAAAGCAACCATCACTACTGAGCTCTCAGGTATGTGCCACAAGAAACTCCCTTCCTAGTTTGGAAGGACGGCTTATGGAATAAGCAATATACCCCAAGGGCAGTTCCACCCATTATCTAGGATGAATGAGTGGAAGCACCACAGCTGCTATTAGTTTACACACAGCTCAGTACACTGTTTAAAAGGTTATTCCAAACAAAAGCTCTATGAATGCTGACATAGGTTGTCCGTCTTAAGTATACTATGTTTACTGACATTGAACAGTTGTAACATTAGCAGCCCAGAACACTTGTTAAACCTCTGACAGCAATGTGAAACATTGCACATACAGAATCCAAGCACCATGACCACTTCAATTCACTGAAGTGGTGATGGTGCTTGGAGTAACCCCTTAATGAATTCAGCTATATGCAATAATCAGCAGAGTCATTGCCCTGCAAGGAGAGAGCTCAGTCCAAGTTGTGTGTGCAGCATGTTCTGCAATTCTAAGCTTCTCTAAGACAGAGGAGGACTCGTATTTTTGGCCTCTCAAAATACCTTCTGCTACCTGCAGACGAATGGGGTGAGGCTGCAGCCTGTATTTTAGTAGGCTGATAGGGACAATGGCTCTCTGCCCTCATGGCCAGTCCTCCTACGTTCCAGAGTTGAGAGTAGGCTCAGGGTAATGAATCTACTACCAGCTTTGCAACCAATACAGCTACCTTTCCAAGGATAATGATATCTTGCAATAACTAAGAAGCGGGATGACTTGGGAGTCCAAATAAAAGCTCATTACATTTTTAAAAACTTTTTTGTAACAAGGGTCATTTATAAAATATATATATATATAAAAGTTGCTTATGTGACAGGACTTACCAGCCACATGTAAAGGAAGTAATTGGGTTTCCCAGCCTTCATGTATGTATACAGCACCAAGTAACAGTCTCCTCCATAGAATCGTCCAAATGTTTTAGGCTCGACCTCTTTCAATTCTAGATTTTCAATCCTCCAGACCTATCCAGTAGATAAACGGAACATATTGATTATGATTAATCTCATCTAAATCTAAAACTCCAATAACGTTAGATGGCATGCAACGGATTCTAAAATGTGACTTACAATAGACTTATATTTTCAATTAATTCAAATGATTAGCACACGTTACTTGACTTTTTATCCATTTAACATTTTTCAGCTAACTTAAATGGACATTGATTAATCAAATAATTTTTACTTTTCTGAAAGGTCATCAAAAACTGCTCATATGTCTAATATCCCCAAGCTTTTATATGAGCAATTTACTACAACATTTTTTTTTGCACCAGGAGAAAATGTAGCTCATGTTATTTTTGTAGACACAGCTGATATGTTTTTTGACACTTGTCCTACCAATCTTCCCTAATACTTCCATTACCCTTTGTGTCACTATACCCCACTCACTCTCTCTAGCATGTAAGCTCATTGAGCAGGGCCCTCAACCCCTCTGTTTCTGTGTGTCAAACTTGTCTGGTTACAATTACGCGTCTGTTAGTCCACCCATTGTACAGCGCTACGGAATTTGTTGGCGCTAAATAAATATAATAATAAATATAATAATAATAATAATGTATCTCAGAAACAGTGATGGCAAGGACTAACTCAACTCTCATTCAGGACATGTGAGGACTTCCTGCATAAAATACTTTATGTATCAGTTTGGGGGTGTAGTATGTTTGTCAGATTAACACCGTTTTTTGTGCAAGTCTTTAAAATAAGCTATAAAAGTTTAGGTTACTTTACTGAGCCTATAACAGGTTATTGTTTACTCACTTCAACCTTCCCAGAGGCGTCATCTACCATCCTCTGCTCAGCCGCTAGCTCAGGATGGGCGTAGAGTTCATTGACGTCAAACTTCTTTTGTTCTACTTTGGCTGTAAAATAATATCCCAAGCAGAGATACCATAAAAATACAGTGAATTAAAAGTCTGTTTTAAAAGGCATTGCAAAGAAAAAAAAAATTGTGATGGTGTGACATATTAAATAAAATGCGTTAACAATGTATTTAATAGCAAAAAGTGAAACTTGCACAAATGGTCACATATTCTCTCGGCACAAATCCTGCAGACATACAGGAAAAGGCTGATCTGAGCAATAAAATACAGAAACTGCCATTTATTGGAATATTTTAGACATTTTAGTTGCAAAATATGCCAAATCTACACTTTTATCTTTCTGTGGAAAGTCTGTCAAATCAAATAAAAACAAGTGAAAATTTGCATTTTGGGATTTTTTTTTTTGTGGGGGGCAAAACGGTGAATATGAAGTATTTTCCTGTGTTTCACTTTTGAATTGGATGGAACATTTGGAAAAGAAACATTTGTAGGAATTTAGTGCCCCCCAAAATGCTTGCACTACATCTAAACTTATACATTTCGGAAGAACGGCCAAAGATCCCCGGACAGAACTACCAGGGCATCGTGATTTTCAATGCATTTATGATTATTTTATTTATATATAGAAAACCTTGGTACGGCATTCTAAGCACCTTAACAACTAAAACTAAACGAACTAATTTGGTTTTACAGTACACAGTAGGAAATTTTACAACCAAATTAGTAAAACTGTTGATTTTCATTATTTATCGTAAGTTTCCACCCTAACAAAAAAAAGGTTCGATCCTGTGAGTGGGAGGTTAAGAATTGCTTTCATAGTTGAGTATTTATGTGAATCAGTTGGAAATGCATTGTATTTTAGCCGAAAACTACCATTAAAAAGGTGCATTTGCGTTTTTGGAAATCTCGAAGAACAACTTGGTCAAATTAAAGCCTCAACCTTGACCCAACAGAATAAACCCATTGTCCCCATGAATGGTCAGATAAGAAAGCACATATTACAGCTAATAAAAAAAAAAGGAAAGTGTCTCACCAATTTTACCAATGTTGTATGTTTTCCCAATGCCCTGTGTTTCTCCAACATCTCTCCAGTTCTGGAAAAGCTGTTTGAATATAGTGGACTCAGCACCATCGTTCATTACCTCCACGTTGGTGGTAGCTGGATATCCTTTGGCTTGTATGAAACCCTTAAGACAGAAGATGTAAAAATTACTGAGCCTTTATCTTATAGGTTTTTGTTTGTTTTTGTTAAAGGACATCTGTTATCAAATTTCCATTTTAAAAAGTTTTTATGCCTAAAGCACCTAAGATATAAGCTCTGCCCTAGTCAACTTGGTTTTCCTGAATGAAGTTGCAAGGATCCTAGTAGTATATATCTTCTCATTTAGTATGTGCTTCCCTAAGACTAGTTCTGACCATTGTGTTGTGAGCTATTGAAGGAGCTTTTGCGGTCAGGCGTTTGTGTTGGATTCAGTTAGAATATTTACCACTGCTCTGCTGAAGGCTGCCTTCTTCTCCTCCGGACTAGACGCCTTTCCTCTCCAGACAAATATCTTTACTCCACCTTGATCTAGAATATGGCAATCCTGAAGAAGGGTAGATTAGATACTGGTTACAAAAGGGTTACACGACATTAAATATAAACCAAAACTCATTTATGATAGATACATTTTGACATATATATATATATATATATATATATATATATTAAATCAAACTTAATATTTCATTTACCCAGGGTGCTTTCTAACACATTCCAATGTTTTTGTGTTTGTTGAACTGTTGAATTTTACACTGGGTCTTTCTTCATGTTTAAACATATTATATATTTATTTTAAGGAAATGAAATTATATATATAGTTTACAGAATGTGTGTCCGATTTTGAAGTTGTTTGTTATTTTAGGTGTTTGCTTATTGTTAGTTTTCGAAAAAGCTAACAGGGTGGAGTAGCCCAAAATATTTATTCTCTGAGCCCAACCCTAGTGCCACCCATTAATATCATCAAGAGAAATATAATGTGCGATGTTTCAGCTAATGTGAACAGAACAATATGAAACGTCTACTAACCAACAACCCTCTAAGATCCACCACTATTACATTTTCTACATGATAATGGTGAGGATATGTCCTTGGGACCTCCTTGTCCTATCTTTGTTCCTTCTCATTGTCCTCCTCTCCCTCATATCACTGATGGAGAAACCTTCTCACCTGATGTTGTAACAGGTCCTGTGTAAGGGGCTTTGTGGCTATTTCCTGAATCACCAAATCTCCATCCTTTTCAAAAACACTGTGAGCAAATGAAAGAACATGTTAGGTCAAAATAGTATTACTAAATAGTATAAATAGTAAGCACAGAGTCAGACATGTCCATTTGGGTTTATTTCTGAGAGAATGTAAAAGAGGGTATTATTAGGTTTATGGAAGGGTGGAAGATGAATGCATGGGTTTAAGGGGATGAGTGAGGAAAGTTTTGGAGATGCAGGGTTGTACTCTTGTACGAAAGACCGAGGAATTGAAAAAAGTATGCTGGTGGCTCTTTTGGAGTTTTTTGTAAATGTGATTAAGGATTGTTGCAGAGGTTCAAAGAGAAGTCCTTGTTTTTGGTCAAGCAGAGCCCTAGTAACTATATAAACATCTCAAGGGCAAAAGTGGCCCCAACCTGTTTTGTCAGCCCCATGTTTCAATTTTTTGTTTCAAACCTTTTTTGTTATTGATTACAAGAAACTATATATTGCATTCTTAAAATAGGGACAACACTATATTTTATGAACTTGTTTGATGGCATTATAGATGTTTCATCAAACTTCTTTCTTTTTTTTTGTACATAAAAAATTATATAAAACAATTAATTCTAAAAATTAAATAACCTAGGAGTGTGTCTTCCAACTACAACTAGGGAAATGATTCAGTTAGTGACAATCTAAGCAGGGTAAAGAGCAGGATGTGCCAGTGTATGAGTTAAGATGTGCCTGTGTAGGTTTAAAATGTGCCAGAATAGAGGACAGGATGTGCCAGGATAGAGGTTAAGATGTGCCAGAGTAGAGAGCAGGATGTGCCAGGGTAGTGGTTAAGAAGTGCAAGGTTGGAGGGCAGTATGTACCAAGGTACAGGGCAGGATGTGCCATCATAGAGGTTAATATGTGCCAAGGGAGAGGTCAAAATGTGCCATTGTAGAGGGCAGAATGTGCCAGGGTAAAAGTTAAGATGTGCCTATTTAGGGCTAAAGATGTGCCATGGTAGGGGGCAGGATGTGCCTGTGTAGGGGTTACGATGAGCCAAGGTAGAGGGCAGGATGTGCCAGGGTAGAGGGTAAGATGTGCCAAGGTAAAGGGCAGGATGTGGCAGGGTAGAGGTTAAGATGTGCCATGGTAGAGGGCAGGACGTGCTGACTTACTGGTAAAGTCTGACATTGGCCTTTTGCTGTTCGTCAGCCTTCTCATCTGGTGTGGCTGCTTTAAGTTCTCCTGTTCTACTCCCCAGGACTGCGTTCATTATCTGCATCAGGTCGGGAGAGTCTTGCTCATTGTCTACAATGCCAATCTGGGCTCTGCCACCTCTTTCATCATCGCGAATGCTCTGAGCCAAAGAACAGGCCTAAGGGAGAATACATTGATAATTGGGACCTTGTCTTTACAGTAGTCTCTAAATTATTAAAGAGGATTTGTTGTGGGTTTTTTACGTCATAAAATTATTTTCCTAAATCGATGTAAATCCTACATGGAAACTTTCAAACTAGTTGCAAATCAATGAGAACAAAGCAGCAGGAAAATCCCTGGCACATGAATGGTACTTTCTACTATGGGAGTTTTATTTATTCAGAGAATTAATTTAAAGTCCCTCGCTGCTGGCCGGAGTATAATTAGAAAATATCGGCTATTATACTAGTAGGGTGGGCGCCAAGCATTATTGTGTGCAATTATTCCCAATCCAATACAGAAACCCTTTCTCTAGATTTTTAACACCTGTAGCACCAATTTCTGATAATAATAATTTTTGATTTGTTATTAAACATAGACGTATACACAAATAGCCTATAAAACAAATATAATTACACTTGAAATTAACTTTGAATTCTCACTCAAGCCTCAACAAACAGGAAGGTAGAACTACTACCCAAAATGCTACCAAAAACTAACACTTATACAGGAGAAACCTCCCCTGAGCACTATTTCAGAATTACAGGAGTTTAATACAATGACCTGTAGAAGTTACAGAAGACGAGTAAATACAAAAATATCGCTGGCCTAACTGTTTATTTGATATTTGTTCTTTTCAGTTTCTGGGTTTTTCGGTTGTTATTGTTTTTATTTTTTTTTATGAGCTCTAAAATATGTCTCTGGAGGAGCCCAATGTATCTGATTTTGGAACACCGACCCGTATTCTTTCAGACTTGTTGCTTTCTGGGCCATTCCACTGGACGATGACTTTCCCCATGTCAAGCAGGAAGACATCGCCCCGATTGAAACTGTTCCATGATAATTCCACCTATGAACAAATAAAGATCAAACTGATGAGAAATAACAGGGATATCAAAGGTTTGTTGTATATCAAACTGAATAACATTTTATTAGCATTCTGGAATCTACTTCTTGACAGGAACCTATAAGCTACGGATACGGATTTGACCTTGTCAATATGTGGAATAATTAACATCATTATGAGCTGCTCAGCGTGTCGTGGATCTAACTAGGCTATCACTGGCCACATCTGATTATTTTAGATTTATAATGCTCAAACTATAACGAAGGGATCGAATCACTCCAGATGGTGGGCTACATACACATCTTGTCAAACTTGGTAAAAGTCAAATATATAGATACTTGATACAAAGTGCATTTATATAAAAACAGACAAGGAAATGGGTTAGTGTTATTGTTTATGTGTACAATTATAATAATAATACATGATAATATGAACCATAACTAATAAAAACACCCACCTCTGTGGCTGTGACATGTTTCTTTCCTTTTACATGGAGAAGACGGCGTATATTGTACATGTTCGTTTCCACGTGTTTAAATCCTGAGGCCACACCACCTTTCTTGTAGCTAATGGAGGAAGTAGGAGAGTTGGGTTAGGCTCAAACGGACCGACAGATAGATAGAACCCTGATTATATAGCTGTCTGCTCGGATTGTCAAACAACACACTGTATCAGGTTTTGTGTGTGCTTTCTCCCACAGGAAGTAACATTTCTTCAGGGAACGGAACACTTTGAAGCTGATCGGAAACCCTTTAAGCTGATCGAAATGTTGGGGTCCCTAACCACCGATAACTTGAGTTAATCTTTTGCGTGTGATGCTCTGAATATTCTAATTTCACATAAAGAGTTACCACTTGACATCACAAATCAGTTCAGTCCTGACACATACAAGGCACACATTGCATTGGAGGAGAAGAAATAGAACCACAGTTTCTGTCTCTCCTCCAGTCTCTATGGTCTCTCTATGCTGACAGCTAGGAGGAAACGGCAGAACCTAAAACAATGATTGACAGGGAGCTAAGATGGAGGCCCTCAGTGCCAGCAGTAAATACACTTACAGCAGTGTAAATTTATACGTACAATACTATTTTTTAAACCACACAGATACATATTTGTGAAATTTAGGGGAAAAGTCATCGGAATTCTAACATTTCTTGGAAGTGATGACTCGCTTTTAAGTAGACTTTGTGGACCCCAAGAAATCATCCCATACTGCAGGTTTACAATTTATTCAATACATTGTATATCTATATGGTGTAACTGAATCCCCATATGTGTTTGCTAAGACGGGTGATTTTAGGTAGCCTTTAGAAATGTTAAACTTTATTTTTTGTTTTGTGTGTGCGCTGTTCCTTTAACTTTATTTTGGCTAGATTTTGGTCTTTACAGAAGCACCACTACTTAGAAATGCATGTTCTCGGTGTGCCCCCAATTCCCCTATTCTTTCTGTGTAGAATTAAGAAAGTTACTGGTAAGTCCCCCTCTTCATTCTTCACATAGGCACTGTGAATGGGGTAAAGAAATTTCATGGTTCCCAGGGCCCCTTTCTAACCACTGGGACCCAGCCAGCCACCTTAGGTCACCTTGTGGTTTATCCTGCTCTGATTTCATATGAAAGTTTGGTTATTTGTGATTTACCGGCCGTATTCTATTGTAGGAGTTCTGGAGTCGGGTTTCCATTCTTCATTACTTACATGACACCGTTCTTGAAGTAACTTTTAAACTTCTCTGATTCGAAGCCCTGCACCTCCCTGTGCTGGATGGGACTCCCGCCGAAAGCATCATCCAGCTGAGACGTGTAGACAGCGGCGGCACCCTGCTCATCCTGAGTCGAGTCCTTTCCAATCCAGTAGTGGATGTCACTGGAAATGCTGTTAGAAACCTTCTTGTTCTGTGGACGGAAAAAGCAAATTGCCATAAATTCCTTCCCACTGACCCAATAGATCCTACCCCAACATATGTTAAAGGGATAAAGGGACAGTAAGGCTTTCACTTATGTCTACATTGTTAGAATTATGTAGCGGAGCTGCAATATTCAATCCCAATATCTCCGCTGGTAAAATAAGGTAATCCAAAGAAAAGCGCTGAAAATGAAGGCAATATCCCAAATCCCCCCAGTAACCGGACAAAACACAGTTCTGGGAGTCAACTGACGATTTTATTCACAAGCTCCAGTATTTATGTGGTTCCCCATGCAAGGGGTTTCCTTACTGACTTTACAGAGGTTGTACAGTAGGGGACTACATGGGGGACTTAACATATAGAACATTTCTCCCACCATGCACTGCTGTACGAGAGGGATACTCCCACTAGAATATCCTGTTAAGTAGATTATCCCTCTGTACAGCAGAGCTCGCTTTTTACATAAAAATCTGTAACTTACATACTATTCGTGCCATTGTACCGAATGACCGTTCAGCAGATAACTGGGGTCTGAGCGCATACTTCGTAAAAGGACCGCTCAGATCCCAGCACAATCAGCCGAACGCCGTACGAAATACACTCCAATATACATTCCTTATAAAAGTCACGAATACACAAGTGGGGAAAAAGTAACCGGCGCTCCCGAACGGCCTGGAAGTCCTGCGGTGTTCGTGCCATCAAGTAGCCGATTTTAGTTCCAGGCACTCGACGACCAAACACTGCTGGGCAAAAAGTTAATCCAAGATGGCCGCTGCCTCGTGGTCGGTAGCCGAACGACGGCCACCCTGTGAATCAATTAACAGCCGATGGATACATTATTGCAATCGGTTAATGGTAGCCACACGACCCCCTGTGTGTGGGCTCCCATTCGGTACTTTGTTCGTTTCACAAACAGTGTTGAAAATCACTGTTCGTGAAACTACCATCTGAATGCTAGCGGCTTTCGTGCCACTAGTATACAAATTCCCTCTTTCACATTTTAAGCAAACACATCAAACATCATATATAAACCAGGCTGAACTTGATGGACGCAAGTCTCTTTTCAGCTATGTAACTATGTAACCAGACTTTCAAGGGCAACCCTCAAAGATAAACAAAATAGTCTGAAGTGTCTAGGTTTGCCACAGATTAGATTATGAAATGTTCCTATTTTTATTACTCTGAGAAGTTAACATTTTTATAGCAGTCAGGGGGCCACCATTAGCCTGTTCTAATCTGTGCAATATCTGGTCACTAACAATATTGGCAAATTATGTCTGTGCTAATTAAATATTCACCAGGGTTAATGAAATATCGGTATATGTTCATGACATATCTGTCTGTGCTAATGAGCTATTCACCCAGTATAATGGTTTATCAATCTGTGCTAATTAATTATTCACCACTGATAATGAGATGTCAATATATGTTAATAATATATTCACCAGTTATAACGTTCTATCAATCTCTGTTCATTAATTGATCGCCAGTGATAATTACATATCAAAGTAGGATAATTAATTATTCACCAGAGATAAAGAGATATTAATATATGTTAGCAGTATATTGACTAGTGATAATAGGATAATAATATATGTTAGCAGTATATTGACCAGTGATAATAGGAAACGCCGAAACGTGCGTCGAGCTTCTTTTAATTTTATTTCTTTGTTTTGCACTTTTTTGGTAGCACTGATGGATTTAATTTAATTCATTTTATATCAGTTATTTTTTGACAGGCAGGGACTAAGGTTTTGGTAGGCACTAGTGATTTCTCACAGTGCCGAGGTAACTAGGGACAGCAGACCTCTCATAGGGGCTTACATATATATTTTTTTCTCTGGGGTACCTCCTTATTTTGCCCCTTCCCTTCTTTCCAGTAACCTTCCTTTCATTAGGGTCCCGGCTTTGGGAGAATTAGAGGGTGTATCTTTTGAACCTTAGGTTTTAGACACCTATTAGGCAGTCTCTTTAGTTACTGGCTCCCTGTGTCTACTCTGGAAGGTTTATAATTGCTACTCCTCCTCCCATCTGTCCTGTTGTGTGTTTCTTTAGGATTATTAAAAGGTAGGGGCTCCCTTTTCCCCTTTCTATATTACTCTCCTATTTTGGACTCTTGTGGTCCTACTTGTTCGCTTTGTGTTTTTCTATCTGAGGGTTATTCCCTAATTTGGAAGAGTAATTTCAGGACTCACCAGCACTAATTCATCGGTCGTTGCTACGACCCCTGAATCAGAGCCATCACTCTCTATTTAGCAGTATATTGAACAGTGATAATGAGATAATAATATATGTTAGCAGTATATTGACCAGTGATAATGAGATAATAATATATGTTAGCAGTATATTGACCAGTGATAATGAGATAATAATATATGTTAGCAGTATATTGACCAGTGATAATAGGATAATAATATATGTTAGCAGTATATTGACCAGTGATAATAGATAATAATATATGTTAGCAGTATATTGACCAGTAATAATAGGATAATAATATATGTTAGCAGTATATTGACCAGTGATAATAGGATAATAATATATGTTAGCAGTATATTGACCAGTAATAATAGGATAATAATATATGTTAGCAGTATATTGACCAGTAATAATAGGATAATAATATATGTTAGCAGTATATTGACCAGTGATAATGAGATAATATATGTTAGCAGTATATTGACCAGTAATAATGAGATGATAATATATGTTACTGGCTGGATTGGAAGGGTTCCTGATGGTTCCTGGTGGTTGATATAAAATTGAACGCACTCAGTACACTCTAATCATACCATAAAGTATTATAAACCCGTAGCACACGTAGAGGGTGTATACATGAATTCACTTTTCCGTATCGTGGGATAGTTTCATGAAATGCACATTAATCCACCCCTTGAAATGACCCATTCTTTGATCTGGTATTGGGTGCAGAAGGAGAGCTCATTAATACATTCTTTCAGTATTTATAGATCGCTCATGTTTCCCACAGGCGTGTTCTGTAATGAGTCATTTACTCTGAATCATCTGCCATTTACAATCACTGCAGGGATCTATTTCTGTATCCTAGTCCCAGAGCTAAAATATTCAGCAACAAAGGCCTATATTGGCACTACATTTACTGCATTCAAATATTGTTGTGTTTGTTGAGGACCTGGCATGAGGGGCACTCACTCCATCACATGTTCTTATATGAGGGGCACTCACTCCATCACATGTTCTTATATAAGGACCACTTACTCCATCACATGTTCTTATATGAGGGGCACTCACTCCATCACATGTTCTTATATGAGGACCACTTTCTCCATCACATGTTCTTATATGAGGTGCACTCACTCTATCACATGTTCTTATATGAGGCGCACTCACTCCGGCACATGTTCTTATATGAGGGGCACTCACTCCATCACATGTTCTTATATGAGGCACACTCACTCCATCACATGTCCTTGTATAAGGCATGCACTCACTCCATCATGTGTTCTTATATGAGGCGCACTCACTCCATCACATGTCCTTGTATAAGGCATGCACTCACTCCATCATGTGTTCTTATATGAGGCGCATTCACTCCATTATATGCAGTGCTGTATTTAGCGCGAGGCTGACAAGGCATTTGCCTTGGGCAGCACTTTCAGGGGGGCAGCAAAAGAAAGCCGCCCCCCAAACACCCTGGCAGATGCCTTGTCAGTCTCTTATCCTGGCCCGGCTGGCAACCTTGGGCCCCCCCAAGGCTGGCATCTGCTTGGAATGGAGGTGAGCAGCGAGGAAGTACTCTACCCTGAGTCTTCCTGGTCAGGTCCCTCGCACTCACTGGAGTGATGCCGGAGCTGGAATATGACCTCACTCTGGCCCTGGCATCACTAAGAGGCGCGTGAGGGAGGTGAGTAGGAAGATCAGACCTCCCTCATGCGCCTGTATTGACCGCACACCCAGCTGCTCAGCAGCCCCACTGGCCCCCAGGGAAATAGAGACTCCATGCCAGCACTCCCAAGGGTAGGGAGGCTGGGTGGAGTAAAATGTTTAAAGAATTATAAATCGTACGTGTGTTTGTCATTAAATGTGTATGTGTTTTTGTCAGTATGTGTATGTGTGTTTGTCAGTAAGAGTGTATGTGTGTTTGTCAGAGAGAGTGTATATGCATTTGTCAGTGAGAGTGTATATGTGTTTGTCAGTGAGTTTGTATGTGTGTCAAAGAGTGTATGTGTGTTTGTCAGTAAGAGTGTATGTGTGTTTGTCAGTGAGAGTCTATATGTGTTTGTATGTGTGTTTGTCAAAGAGCGTATGCATGTTTGTCAGTGAGTTTGTATGTGTGTCTGTCAAAGAGTGTATGTGTATGTCAGTGAGAGTGTACGTGTGTTTGTCAGTGAGTGTATGTGTCTCTGTCAGTGTGTGTGTGTCTGTCACTGAGATTATGTCTGCCAGTGAGTGTTTATGTGTCTGCCAATGAATGTGTATGTCTGTTAGTGGATTTGTATGTCTGTCAGTGTGTGTGTGTCTGCCAGCTAGTGTATGTGTGTCTGTCAGTGAATGTGTGTGTCTGTCAGTGCGTGTGTCTTTGACACTGAGTGTATATGTGTCTGTCAGTGAGTGTATATGTGTGTTTGTCAATGTGTGTCTGTCAGTGAGTGTATATGTGTCAGTGTGTGTGTCTGACTCTAATTTGGTGTGTCTGATTCTTGTTTGGTGAGTTTCTGACACTGAGTGAGTCTGCGTCTGCCAGTGAGTGTGCATGTGTGTCTGTGAGTGTGTGTGTGTATGTGTGTCTCTCAGTTAGTGTATGTGTGTCTTTTGGTCAATGTGTGTGTCCGTCAGTGAATGTGAGTGTGTCTGTCAGTGAGTGTGTGTTTCAGTGAAACTGTGTGTTGGTTAAACAGTGTGTGTGCCAATGACTGTATCTGTCAGTGAGTGTATGTCAGTGTAACCATCAGTGAGGGCATGTGTCTGTTAGGAAAAGAGCGTGTTGGTTTTAAAAAGGAAGATAAATTTAGATGGGGAGGAGGCCTAGTTTTGTCATGCCTAAGGCAGCACAAAAACAAAATACACCACTGAGCATATGTCCTTACATGAGGAAGCCTCACTCAACCACAGGTCTTGACTGTGTGTAAGAAGCCCTCAATCCATCACATAGCCTTATATGACGACACTCACTCCACCACATGTCCTTATATGAGGAGTGCGCACTCCATAATATATCTTTATATGGGTCACCGTACATGTCCTTATTCCAGTAGTGGGAGCACAGAGTAAAACGAATAGAGTCCTACAGGAGCACATGGGTGTGTGGGTTGAGTAAAAGATGAGGAGTGGAGAGTTTAATGGTATGGTGTGACGTAAATGAGGAGAGATAGGGAGGAGCAAGGTTGTGGTGGGATTTGGAGGGGCCATATAGAGAAGATAAGCTGAGCCCCAAGAATGGTAAAGAAACTGGAATATATATTGATGCAGTGGATACATTGTTAAAAAAAAACAGACATGATAATAAATGTAATCTGTAATGAGATCCTATGTGCTTTCTTTTCTTTTTTCCCTGTTATTAAAAAAAAGAAAGACACTCTGTGATATATACTATTAAAAGCTGGGGGAAGGATAAATAGAGAAACAGAATTACTGGTGTAAAAAGAACATAGTCATACGTTTATGGCCTCAATTTAATAGTGTTGGACACGCTCTTCAAATGATTTAATATTTTTTTGGATAAACTTTCTAAAAAATATTAAAATAGCAAAATATACAAAATTTACAAAAAAAATTCATAATATTCTTTAATTTTAAAATATTAAATGGAGGCCTATATTGGGTCAATAATAACAATAAGTATTAGAAACTCCGTGGTTTGAAAACGTTCCATGTTTTATACTCAAGCGGCTTAAGATGACATTTCCTGATTGGTGCATTTCTTTCCCATAGATACATATGGATACATCTTACATTTTGAAAGAAGCTAAAATTAGGGTTTATTGCATTTAAAGGGATGGATATGACTGTTTGTGTGCAATAGATGTTTCATTAACACCACAGGTTTATTGATTGCAAACTCAGGATGTTATTGCATCCCCAACATTTATTGGATTTTTATTTCTTTATTGATAACATTTATTTATTGGTTGCTCATTGCATGTTTAGCACTGTTTTTTATTGTATTCCATACCTATAAAGTATTGAACAATTCTAGACCCTCCTATATCTCTTCACAGATCCATAGGTATACCCCTTCTCAGTCTCCACTCTGCCCCTGACCTTCTCCTGACCCCTGCTCGCACCCGTACAGCCAACCCGCACTTGCAGGACTTCTCGCGGGCGGCTCCTTTCCTATGGAATAGCCTGCCTACCGCCATCAGACTCCGCCCTAGTCTTCAATCGTTTAAGAAGTGCCTCAAACACCCATCTCTTTAGGAAAGCTTATGGCCTCCCAGAGTAACCTCTTCCTCACATACCTGTCTCCTGCTCTCTCCTAAAGGGCAGCACTCTACTCTCTCCTCCAGCTCTGCTTCACTCCCACCTTGTTTGATTGCTATTTCCTTTCCTATTGCGTTTTATACCCCACCTCCTATAGACCGTAAGCTCGTTTGAGCAGGGCCCTCTTCACCTATTGTTCCTGTAAGTTTTCTTGTAATTGTCCTATTTATGGTTAAATGACTCCCTCTCATAATATTGTAAAGTGCTACGGAATCTGTTGGCGCTATATAAATACCAATAATAATAATAATAATAATAATAATAATATTCAAATGAACAAGTGTTCTCACATGTCCAACATAAGGTATTCACTGCATGTTCATTTTACATGCCCAGACAGCAGTGAGTGTATATTACTTGCCCAGCAGTGAGTGTGTATATTACATGCCCAGCAGTGGGTGTTTATATTATATGCCTAGCAGTGAGTGTATATTACATGCCCAACAGTGAGTGTGTATATTACATGCCCAGGCAGCATTGAGTGTATATTACTTGCCCAGCAGTGAGTGTATATTACTTGCCCAGCAGTGAGTGTGTATATTACATGCCCAGCAGTGGGTGTTTATATTATATGCCTGGCAGTGAGTGTATATTACATGCCCAACAGTGAGTGTGTATATTACATGCCCAGGCAGCAGCGGGTGTTTATGTTACATGCCTAGCAGTGAGTGTTTATATTACATGCCCAGCACTGGGTGTTTATGTTACATGCCCAGCAGTGAGTGCACATTACATGCCCAGCAGTGAGTGTTTATATAACATACCCAGCAGCGGGTGTTTATATTACATGCCCAGCAGTGGGTGTTTATATTACATGCCCAGCAGTGAGTGTTCGTTGCTGCCCAGGCAGCAGTGAGTGTTTATATTATATGCCCAGCAACGGGTGTTTATATAACATGCCCAGCAATGGGTGTTTATATAACATGCCCAGCAGTGGGTGTTTATATTACATGCCCAGTTAGCAGCGGGTGTTTATATTACATGCCCAGTCAGCTGCGGGTGTTTATGTTACATGCCCAGTCAGCTGCGGGTGTTTATATTACATGCCCAGTCAGCAGCGGGTGTTTATGTTACATGCCCAGCAGTGAGTGTTCGTTGCTTGCCCAGGCAGCAGTGAGTGTTTATATTATATGCCCAGCAGCGGGTGTTGATATAACATGCCCAGCAGCGGGTGTTTATATTACATGCCCAGTAGGCAGTGGGTGTTTATATTACATGCCCAGCAGTGGGTGTTTATATTACATGCCCAGTCAGCAGCGGGTGTTTATATTACATGCCCAGCAGCGGGTGTTTATATTACATGCCCAGGCAGCAGTAAGTGTTTCTATTACATGCCCAGGCAGCAGTGGGTGTTTATATTATATGCCCAGTAGCGGGTGTTTATATTATATGCCCAGCAGCAGGTGTTTATATTACATGCCCAGCAGTGAGTGTTTATATTACATGCCCAGTAGCGGGTGTATATATTACATGCCCAGCAGCAAGTGTTAATATTATGTGCCCAGCAGTGGGTGTTTATATTACATGCCCAGTAGTGGGTGTTTATATTACATGCCCAGTAGCGGGTGTTTATATTATATGCCCAGCAGTAAGTGTTAATATTATGTGCCCAGCAGTGGGTGTTTATATTACATGCCCAGCAGTGGGTGTTTAAATTATATGCCCAGCAGTGAGTGTTTATATTACATGCCCAGTCAGCAGCAGGTGTTTATATTACATGCCCAGCAGTGGGTGTTTATATTATATGCCTAGCAGCGGGTGTTTATATTACATGCCCAGGCAGCAGTGAGTGTTTATATTACATGCCCAGCAGCGGGTGTTTATATTACATGCCCAGGAGCGGGTGTTTATATTATATGCCCAGCAGTGAGTGTTCGTTGCTTGCCCAGGCAGCAGTGAGTGTTTATATTACATGCCCAGCAGCAGGTGTTTATATTACATGCCCAGCAGCGGGTGTTTATATTATATGCCCAGCAGTGAGTGTTCGTTGCTTGCCCAGGCAGCAGTGAGTGTTTATATTACATGCACAGCAGCGGGTGTTTATATTACATGCCCAGCAGCGGGTGTTTATATTATATGCCCAGCAGTGAGTGTTCGTTGCTGCCCAGGCAGCAGTGAGTGTTTATATTACATGCACAGCAGCGGGTGTTTATATTACATGCCCAGCAGCGGGTGTTTATATTATATGCCCAGCAGTGAGTGTTCGTTGCTTGCCCAGGCAGCAGTGAGTGTTTATATTACATGCACAGCAGCGGGTGTTTATATTACATGCCCAGCAGCGGCTGTTTATATTATATGCCCAGCAGTGAGTGTTCGTTGCTTGCCCAGGCAGCAGTGAGTGTTTATATTACATGCACAGCAGCGGGTGTTTATATTACATGCCCAGCAGCGGGTGTTTATATTATATGCCCAGCAGTGAGTGTTCGTTGCTTGCCCAGGCAGCAGTGAGTGTTTATCGAGTTGCTCATTGTAATCTTTGTTCCTGGATTTGCTCCAGGTTTAGACAATGTTTCTGTTTAACTTAGTTATTATTGTCACCATACGCAAACATGCACATTCCATCCTCTCTGTCAGCCATATCATTCCCTCGCTACCCGGAGCTAACTGCTCGCTCTAATAGCATGTTCCTAACTGAATAAGAAAAACTTCACAAAAACATCTTTCAGACCCTTTTCCTTTGTACAGCAGAAAAAAAACCGCATGTTGATATTTTAAAAGAATATCATAGAAAAATACCTTAAAAGGTACAGAGATATTTTCATCCAAAATAAATAAAAGAACAATGTAATCTGTGGGAACATCCAATGCTGCGATGGAGAAATAACTATAACAGATGATCGGGTGATAGAAACAATTATACACATCCGTTGCCACTTTATATCACACAACAATCTAGGCACAAAAAGCCTTAATGTAACCTTCTGCATCGCTCTGACTGCCACCATCCAACCAAAAAAGATGCAGCTATCAGTTACCATAACTCTGGCAGAGTACAAAGATTTGGAAATGAACTCTGGGTGGGCACTATCTATGGGCACTATCTATGGATACTCCGCGTACTATCTATGGATACTATCTATGGATACTATCTATGGATACTCCGCGTACTATCTATGGATACTATCTATGGATACTCCATGTACTATCTATGGATACTATCTATGGATACTATCTATGGATACTCCATGTACTATCTATGGATACTATCTATGGATACTCCATGTACTATCTATGGGCACTATCTATGGATACTCCGCGTACTATCTATGGATACTATCTATGGATACTATCTATGGATACTCCATGTACTATCTATGGGCAATATCTATGGATACTCCATGTACTATCTATGGATACTATCTATGGATACTCCGCGTACTATCTATGGATACTATCTATGGATACTCCATGTACTATCTATGGGCACTATCTATGGATACTCCATGTACTATCTATGGATACTATCTATGGATACTCCATGTACTATCTATGGATACTATCTATGGATACTATCTATGGGTACTATCTATGGATACTCCATGTACTATCTATGGGCACTATCTATGGATACTATCTATGGGTACTATCTATGGATACTCCATGTACTATCTATGGATACTATCTATGGATACTCCATGTACTATCTATGGATACTATCTATGGGCACTATCTATGGATACTATCTATGGATACTCCATGTACTATCTATGGGTACTATCTATGGATACTCCATGTACTATCTATGGGCACTATCTATGGATACTATCTATGGGTACTATCTATGGATACTCCATGTACTATCTATGGGTACTATCTATGGGTACTATCTATGGATACTCCATGTACTATCTATGGGTACTATCTATGGATACTCCATGTACTATCTATGGGCAATATCTATGGATATTCCATGTACTATCTATGGGCACTATCTATGGATACTCCATGTACTATCTATGGGTACTATCTATGGATACTCCATGTACTATCTATGGGCAATATCTATGGATACTCCATGTACTATCTATGGGCACTATCTATGGATACTCCATGTACTATCTATTGGCACTATCTATAATACTCCATGTACTATCTGGCCCTGCCTGCTGCCTGTGGCTCTGGCCCTGTCTGCTGCCTGTGGCTCTCGCCCTGCCTCTGGCTCTGGCTGCGGCCCTGCCTCTGGCTCCGGCCCTGCCTGCTGTCTGTGGCTCTGGCTCTGGCCCTGCCTGCGGCTCTGGCCCTGCCTGCTGCCTGTGGCTCTGGCCCTGCCTGTGGCTTTGGCCCTGCCTCTGGCTCTGGCCCCGCCTGCTGCCTGCGGCTCTGGCCCTGCTTGCTGCCTGTGGCTCTGGCTTTGGCCCTGCCTGCTGCCTGTGGCTCTGGCCCTGCCTCTGGCTCTGGCCCTGCCTGCTGCCTGTGGCTCTGCCTGGGGCCTCAGATTTTTCCAATTGTAGATTATGCTAACGTAGTGTACAGATAATCTTAATTTTAATAATGACAGGAGGCGAGTATTTTGCATAAACTTTCTTTACTTTATGTATTTGTATTAACTTTTTCTTGTGGATAATCATAATTTGAAGCACCTGCTTAGAAAATCCACTATTTTACTGATATTTTTTTGTGCTCTCTATAAACCTGTTTTTTTCATTTCTTTACTTTATGCCTCCAGCAGCACAAGTCAATCAATCAGAAGAAAAAATATTTAACCAATCAGAGTCCAGCACATCCTGTATATAAGTCTCTGACAGTCGTTCCATTTCCTCTTTCTTTGCTGCTCCAGCCAAGGCACAGGTCAGAGTGATTTTTTCTGCTTCTTATTATACATACTTAGTTTATTGCTATTTCCTTAATTTTCAGTTTGCACAATACATTTACTAGTTTTTATTACTGTTTTTCCTGACTACTGTCCTTTATTTCCTTACCCTCCTCTCCCCCCCTCTCTTGTGCTGATACCCCTTCTGTCCTTCCGCGATCGCGGCTATTTACCGCGATCGCGATCACAGGGGGATTTTGTGTCATCCGGGGGAAGGATCAGACCACGATCGCGGACCGCGCTTAGTTTTGGCGGAACCTATTGCAATAGGTCTCTACTGGGCTTTGAAATTGGGCACATCCAATATCACTACCAGGCGACAGAGCCTAGGCAAATTGATTCCTATTTCTGACCGCTCATCCCGGTCTCCAGGAGGGTGACCCCCTCGCTAGCCCATGATTACAGGCAGTGGTACTATACAGCAGGACCTATCAATTGATTTGGGCCCATTGACCACACTGGGAGAATCCCAGTCGTAGGTGGAAAGCCACAGTATTACTATTACTGGTCTTACTATTCACGTACTTCGGTACCTGAACCTATCCTGTCTTCCACAGACAGAGAGACCTACGGCTGTAAGAATGAGTGAATCTTCGCAACCAACTCCCCCCAACTTTCAAGCGATGATTAACTCAGCGGTTGTGGCCTCGATGGAAAAGGCTATAGCAAAATTGTTGGTCCAGACCCCTAGTGGGGACCCTGATACTAAGGGCCCAGATAGGTCTTCGGGGGAAATTGCCCCTTCTAAAAGGCACTGGAAGGGCAATGGCCCAACCCCGCGGAAGACGAAGGGCAAGGCCCCGCTAAAGAGGAGCCGCCAGGCGGACCGCCAGGGCCCTTCAACCCCTCCACTGACGTCCTCCGATGAGGAGGAAAATAATTCTCCAACCCCGCTGGAGGTTATGGACGAGTGGAAAGCGGAGGACTCCCCCTCTGAGGAAGACGACTGTCTAGACATGCCCCGAGGCGACCCAGTTACCTCTCTCCCTGCAGCCTGCAGCCAGTGGAGTGGGCCGCCCCCTCCTCCTGACATCATCAGGAGAGGCCAACTGACTCCACTGACTGCACGCTGCAGACTCCAGATCCTGTCCCACCCCTCCTGGCCCATGGTAAGCCTCAGGGAGGGGGAATACACTTTAGTTTGTTTTCTATTCCCCTCCTCGGCCCCTGCCCTCCCCCCTTGGCCCCCTCCCACCCTACTCAGCCCCAGCCCCCCTACTCAGCCCTGGCCCCATTCCTCAGCCCCAGCCCCCCTCTTTAGCCCCTGCCCCCTCCTTGGCCCCTGTCCCCCTAATCAGCCCCGGTCCCATTCCTCAGCCCCGGTCCCATTCCTCAACCCCAGCCCCCTCCTTGGCCCCTGCCCCCTCCCCCTGCCCCCCTCCTTAGCCCCCTGCCCCTCCTCGGCCCCTATCCCCCTACTCAGCCCCCCCATTCCTCAGCCTGGTCCCATTCCTCAGCCTGTCCCCTCCTTGGCCCCCATGCCCCCCACAACCACCACCAATGCGCTGAGGGGAGAGAGCCACAGAAAGGGGCTGGGGAAAGAAAGAGACACACAAGAAGGTGTGAGACATACTAAAGGGGGGATAAAATACACTAAGGAGGTTAAGAAAATCAAAAGTGGGATTACAATAAACACAGGTAAAGACACATTTTTTTAAGGGGGGGGGGGAGGCAGCAAAATGCATCTTTGTCTTTGTCTGTGTAGCCAAAAATTCTTGCACCGGCCATAAGCATACCATACTGTGTTTATTATTGCAACGGAACTTCCTTTTAACATCAAGGTGTGGCAGGAATTATTTATCCACGTCTGTAACTGTTGGGCCTTAGGGCAGTGATAAAACCTGCCTTGCTAGTTTCTTGGTCTGACTAATGCAATTTCAGAGAACTTTTTGAACATAATTCCAGGTATAGGTGGCAGATATTGAAGACACTGGCCATAACGCAGTACCCTCCCTCCATGGCTCAACAATCTCTGTCACAATCATCTCGAATCAAAAGGTTTAAACAAAAATTTTACTTTTTTTTTTTATTTTTTTATGAATTTGTGTATTTGAATTTTTAGCCCAGCAGGAATTCTGCATCTCACAGCAAACTTGGGGCAGAAAATTGTTTATCTTCATTTGTGGATTTTCTGGCCCAGACCATGGTTTGAAATCCATGCTTTGATTGGCTGCACACACCAAGCAAATACCCAGAATACAGTATATATATACTGTGATGGTAGTAATCTGTATCACCGTCAAGCATTCCCTTCTTCCCATAAAATAAAATCCCCAAGTAATCCACAGAGTAATTAATCGCTGGTATCGCCAAATAATCCACACATGAGCCAAAGCTTAATGCTGGAACAAGACTGATTTACTGGAAGCAACAGGCATTCAATTTATACAATAACAGACTCCTCCTCTGGGCCAGGCTAGATAATTGAGTTTCAGCAACATACTAAACTCAGTTATCTGCTGGCCAGAAACATTAAAATTTTCTAATTTTTTAGAAAAATACTTTCTGCATAACATAGAAATATATAAACCACTTTCCTGTGTAGCTGAGGATACTGGGAGTCACACATCCGAATTTCACGAAAATCCGTTTGGTAGTTTCCATGTCGCATTGTGTGGAAGTTTGACCGGCTCGCCATGTGGTGGTATCCAATTTAGAGTTCCATGAAATCAGTAGCAAGAGCCGGTCTCCGTTCGCGCAGAATTACACGAAAACTACCCTAGGTATGTTGGAGCCGGTTACATAAGAGTGCTCCCCTCGTTCGGTAGATTAAAACTCCCGAACGCCGGTTTGATGCTATGGGTGGAAATAGGTCAGATGGGACTTCCATAATGACCGGACGTTCGTGTGATTGCCATGCCGAAAACAGTTCCAGGCAATCCACGAGTAAGGCCCGCTGACCGCATTCGGGAGATTTAAGATGGCCGCCATCCTTTGTTCTCACCACGTGTTCGTATACCGAATGGTGACCACCTAGAAGCACTCAATTAAGTTGCGGTTTTCCGTGTGGTTACTCAGTGTTCCAAATTCTGATTGCTACCCAGGGTGGTCTCCGTTCGGTAGAGCGAATACATTTCCCGAACACATAATTAGAACGAAACGTTCAAAGTTAGTTAAAGAGCAGGGAGAGGACACAACCGAATGAACACAGGTGAATGCAGGGAAATCATTTACATATGCCCCAAGTGTCACTATTTAGGAGGGACAGTCCCTATTTTGGGCCCAAATCCCTCTGTATAACAGAGCTCCACAGCAATATTACTCAGAGTAATGTATCTTTACATTACAATAACTGTGTTTAGAAACCAGTCTGTGTAAATAAGATATGATATCGTTATTGATATCCATTTACACCATTACATAGATAGATCATCACTGTCCCTTATGCAGTATATATGTTGACTCTTAACTGGGTATTGTTAACAGCAAACTTACGTATATTATGATGTAACAGTCTCCTTCAAAGAAACTCCCATATGCCTTTTCAGGTAGTGGAACCATTTTCATTTTCTGAAATAAGGTAAGCAATAGTTTTAAATGGTTAGAAAAGCATCATTACTTAATGTTGGCAAAATTATATGTGAATACATTTATTTAACAGCCAGGCGCTTCACTGTTCATTGAATGATGCTTCCTGTGGCACAAAGTGTGTGTTTCTTCAAATTTAGTCTCTAAAGTTCCTTACTGTTTTTATTATTAACTAGACATTGAATCTTCAAGCAAAAACTCAATGGCCACAATTTTCAGGGGCCACAGTAATCTCAGAAATCAAATTACAGCATTTATACACTAATCTGGCAAGTTTACGCACTCATGTATGCATGGTCAGGAATTCAAAGTCAGTTCAAAATCAATTTCACATTTAGGACAAATAGTTGTCTTGAAAAAATACTTCACTTCTGCTATATTTTTATATACATGTCCACCAATGGACACGTAAGTGAATAACCCTGAAGATTTTGGAAAATGTATAAAATAAATTATACTTCTGCATTATTGTTCCAGGTTAATCTTGGTAGGAAGGGAGTTATAAAGTACAAGGATGGCCTTAGAAATCCCCAACAATCCCTACAATATGGTGACCACTCCACATCTCCTCTTTATTCGCTGTAGCTCATGTGCCTTTTCTTTCCCTGGTTTCCTGGACAGGGAATCTGCTCATTTTATTTAACATGCCGGCATGGGTGCCTCCTGAAATCCCCCCTAGAATGACACCTCAGATATAATGGTTTATGAAGGACTCTTACCTCAATGGACCATATCTGCAGGCCCGGGTTCCGACTCACATTACTGAAGGCTGGCGTGCTCATTTTGATAGTTAAACTGAAAGACAAATTTAGAGACGAGTATGTAAACAGTGTATTTATAATGTGGTAAAGTAATAGAAGGTTTCTAGATTGAGACAAAAACAGACAAACAAAAAACAGCTCTGCCCATTCTCAATGGTCAGTAACTAGCTAATATTACCCTAGTTAATTATATGCAACTTAAAGAGAAATCGGCATCGCATCCCCACCACCACTACCTCAAAACATGTGTGTCCTGACTTGTCACTCATCATGGTAATGATAAATTCCTTTCCAATCATTGAGTCAGGAGGACAATCACAGTAAGCATGGTGTGTGTGACTGTATCACAGATCTCCACAGCAATACAACTCACAGTATGTATGACTGTATCACAGAGCTCCACAGCAATAAAACGATTAAAACTCATAGTATGCATGGTGTGTGACTGTATCACAGATCTCCACAGCAGTACAACTATTAAAACTCATAGTATGCATGGTGTGTGACTGTATCACAGAGCTCCACAGCAATTCAACTCACAGTATGTATGGTGTATGACTGTATCACAGAGCTCCACAGTAATGAAACTATTAAAAATCATAGTATGCATGGTGTGTGACTGTATCACAGATCTCCACAGCAATAAAACTATTAATACTCATAGTATGCATGGTGTATGACTGTATCACAGAGCTCCACGGCAATAAAACTATTAAAACTCATAGTATGCATGGTGTGTGACTGTATAACAGAGCTCCACAGCAATAAAACACTCAGCAATGTGCAGTGTGTATAAATGTGTCAGAGATCCACAGCACTAAAATGCTCAGGAATGCATGATATGTTTAACAGCATCACAGAGCTCCACTGAAATAAACCTTAAATTAAAGAGTATTGTCTGTGTGAGACTATATTGCAAGCTCTGCACTAGAATGACTGCGTAAATGTGTGTAATTAAGAAGGATAGGTAATAAAGGCACACTATAATCACCAGAACAACTACAGTTTATTGTATGTGTTTTGGTGTGTATAATCAGTCCCTTCAGGCCTTTCGCAGTAAACACTGTTTTTTTTTTTTCCTGCGAAAAGGCAGTGTTTACATTATAGCATAGGGATGCCTCCACTGGGCACTCCTCACATGGCTGCTAGAGGTGCTTCCCGGGGCAGTGCTGCACAGTTTGACTGACATTCAGTGTCTCCACCTTCTGCATGGAGACACTGAACTTTCCTCATAAAGATGCATTGATTCAATGTATCTCTATGAGGAGATGCTGATTGGCCAGCGCTGTGTTTGGCTTCTTCTGGTTCTGCATCAGTGACAGCCTCTGTGACCGTCTCCTTGACAGTGTCAGCCAATCAAATGATTTACTATGGAAAAGCATTGTGATTGGCTCAGAGCACCACTTCTTATTTTTTGTTTTCCAAATATTTGTATTATATTTTGCTTCAACATCAAATGACAAACAACATCAATACATACAAAAATAAATAAACTGAACATTACATTTACAATTATACATAAAAAGATAAACAGAAATACATCTGTTGATCGGTTTACATCCATCCTATTACCATACTAGTGTCTTTTCATCGCTAATCTTATTTAGATATGATACACAGTTCTTTTTCCCAGTTATCACATAAGCCGGAAGTCTTGTTCGGGCATTTAGAATAACTCTTTTCCATTTTTATTTGAGATAATAATTGTGAGCTTAATTGGGTAACAGAAAAATAATATTCCGCTTTCCAGTTTCTTGCTATCACTATCTTTGCAGCCAACAAGCAATGATTTATCAAAAATTTATCTGTCTTCCTTAGATTAGGCCAGTAAAAATGTAGTAGCATTACTTCTGGAGTTATTGATAATTTGACGTCACATAGTTTAAATATAATGTTTTGAACCCACTGCCATACGACTGACACTTTTTTATATGTCCACCACATATGAACATAGCTAACCTTCTCCGCTCTACAATTCCAACAATCCTCACTAGGTCTCGTAGAGAATTTCAATAATCTTGATGGGGTCATATACCATAAATTAATCAATTTAAAATGGGTTTCTATCAACGCAAGTGAGTGAACATATTTATTGATTTTATAGGAAGAGGATAACCATCCCTTTTCATCTAATTCTATCATTAGATCTTTGGTACATTTTCTTATGGCTAAAGGTGTTTCTGATGATGTCAGCCAAGTAGGCAGATCAGGGTCAGAGCCAGCAGCAGCAGACTAGAATAAATGTAAGATTTTATTATATTTAAGGAGGCCAGGGGGGCTAGATGGTGGTTTTAATACTATAGGGTTAGGAACACATGTTTGTGTTCCTGACCCTATAGTGTTCTTTTAAGTTACAATGGTATAGCTTCCCCTCCTATCATGCTCCGTAAATATGGCTATTTCTTAATTGGCCAGCTGGAATGCTGGGAGTCTGTATTGGATGAAATATATGTTCTGCTCTTTCAGTAGAATAATAGATGGTACCACTGGTAATACATATATCGAAAACCTGAGCATGTTAAACAAAGGTAAATTTACAAAGTGAAAATGATACAATGTATGTGAAAGAATTTGTAGGATCTATACAACAGGATTATGGGATTATTTAGCAGAGATACAAAATACATTTAGGAGCAGAAATATTAGTATTAAGGGAATAAGATTTAAACTAGGAAATCTGACGATCAAATCCAGAAGTCTGAAAATTGCACCTTCTTCAAAAAAATAGTTTGGATCCCATAGCTTCTAAACAGCATTAGAAACCACATTACACCGTATTATAGGCCTTATGCATTATCCTTCATAGTGCGTGAATGGGAAACCCACCACGGATTGTCCCAATAAATGGTCCCGTGTGACGGACAATGAATTGACCATTCACAGATAGCTGGTAGCATGTTTGTTTCATGTTTTCCTGTGACTGATCTAGGGGTGGGTTGGGAGAATGGATGTGTGTGATAGCTAAAGATACATGAACCTAATGGGGGTTATAGGAGAACGAGAAGAGGAGCATCAGAAAACAAAATTAATTCAAAAGGTACACACTGGGTGGATATAAACTGCTTGGATATACACTGTATAGATATACACAGCTTGGATATACACTGCTTGGATATATACTGTGTGGATATACACAGCTTGGATATACACTGTGTGGATATACACAACTTGGATATACACTGTGTGGACATACACAGCTTGGATATACACTGCTTGGATATACACTGGGTGGATATACACTGCTTGGATATACACTGTATGGATATACACTGGGTGGATATACACTGGGTGGATATACACTACATGGATATACACTGTGTGGATATACACATCTTGGATATACACTGCTTGGATATAAACTGTATGGATATACACTGTGTGGATATACACAACTTGGATATACACTGCTTGGATAAACACTGGGTGGATATACACTGCTTGGATAGACACTGTATGGATATACACTGGGTGGATATACACTGCTTGGATATACACTGTATGGATATACACTGCTTGGATATACACTGGGTGGATATACACTGCTTGGATATACACTGGGTGGATATAAACTGCTTGGATATACACTGTATGGATATACACTGTGTGGATATACACAGCTTGGATATACACTGCTTGGATATACACAGGGTGGATATACAATGCTTGGATATACACAGCTTGGATATACACTGGGTGGATATACACTGTTTGGATATACACTGTATGGATATACACTGTGTGGATATACACAGCTTGGATATACACTGTATGGATATCCACTGCTTGGATATACACTGCTTGGATATACACTGGGTGGATATACACTGATTGGATATACACTGTGTGGATATACACTGCTTGGATATACACTGTATGGATATACACTGTATGGATATACACTGTGTGGATATACACAGCTTGGATATACACTGTATGGATATACACTGCTTGGATATACACTGGGTGGATATACACTGCTTGGATATACACTGCTTGGATATACACTGCTTTACACACTGTGTGGATATACACTGCTTGGATATACACTGTATGGATATACACTGCTTTATACACTGTGTGGAAATACACTGCTTGGATATACACTGCTTTATACACTGTGTGGATATACACTGCTTGGATATACACTGTATGGATATACACTGCTTGGATATACACGGTATGGATCTAGACAGACGTATCCCGTCAAATGTCATATTACGTGGCTCCCCAGTCACAGTCATGACATCACCCAATTCATATTGATGCACATATCATCTACACTCATGGATCATTCATCTTTTTTATTATATTTACTTATGAAATGCATATATTTTGGATGCATTAACAAGTTAGTCGACTGCAGAATCTTTCTTCAGTGCAGTGCGATACTTCCCGTCTGCATAGTAATGTGATGCGCAGTCTGTCCAGTCTCCTGCTTTGTATATAGTAAAATCTATTGAACCAAATATTTGCAAAGCAAGTCAAAAAAAGGAAATTATTAAGGAGTCAATTATGCTGTTTTCAAATCAACACAAAAATGGCATCTTTCCAGACCCAAGCACCAGTGGGATTATGGCATTTTCCTCAGCCTAAAATAATGACCTTTGATATAGCAATAAACGGGTCATTCAAAAAGATTTTCAAAATGTTCATGTTCAAACAAAAAATGAGCAACTTCAGAATTTAAGTGCAATTATTAACCTAGTCTGCGTGGGCACACCCTTTGCGCAGGCCTATGTTTCTCAAAGTCATGCAGATTTGTTTCAGGACGAATTGCAACTAGTCTGAATTTGGGGCAATCGAATGAACTCCAAGCAAAAACGTACCTGAATCATTCTACATGCTCAATGCCGAACATGTCAGCTCGTGATTCTGAATTCCAACCGTGGCACCAAAAAGAGAGATAATTGATGGGGGGAAAAAAATGATTGATTGCTACGGGAGAGTCACTAAACGTTGATTTTATTGAGAAGTTACAAAGAGAGGGAAAAGGACAAGGAGTAGTAAAAAAAAAATATATATTTACAGATTATATATTTAATGAATATTTAAAGAATCACTATAGGGTCAGGAACACAAACATGTATTCCTGGTGCTATAGTGTTAAAACCACCATTTAGCCCCCTTTTTCCCACTTGATCTGTAAACCAAATTGCTCCTATCAGTATACTGAAAAATATATACATGATATTATATTATGTATTTATTTTGAAGCACATTGAATTTTGGTTCCAAAATTGCCTAGTTTCTTATATAAATTATTTGGTTAAATGTTCACTGGACCTCCTAGTAACAGCTCTATGCTGGAAGTGAGTGCTTTTAACTGCTCCCTGTCAATCATTGTTATAAGCTCCGTCCATAGAACCTAACATTTAGCATAGAGAGCGGAGGAGAAATATAAGCAACCAGAGATATTAATCAAAAGGTTATCAAAAGGCTAAATTCCATCTTTATTTCATCAGCATTTATCGAAGTATTCTAAAAGTAATTAAAATGCTGATGGTTTTCTTTATAATTTATTTCTTTATAATTATGTCTATATAATTAATATGTGTATTATACCCCACCTCCTATAGACTGTAAGCTCGTTTGAACAGGGTCCTCTTCAACCTATTGTTCCTGTACGTTTTCTTGTAACTGTCCTATTTATAGCTAAATCCCCCCTCTAATAATATTGTAAAGCGCTACGGAATCTGTTGGTGCTATATAAATGGCAATAATAATAATAATAATTATTGCCATGAAGATTGATACATCCATTATACTGTGGAAGGAATGGAGAATATTCCAAGATGTTCAGAGTGCAAATGAAGCAGCAGATGAAATCTCCCCAGATTTGATAAATTCTCCCCAGTTGTTTTTAGTTCCCCTCCTCCTGCATAAGGTGTGCCCCGGCTGTGTGGCCTCATGCTGGGCTCTCCAGTAGTTAGAGGAAGCTCTGTGTGAGCTATGTTTCTAGTCCCATGCCAAGCTGGCAGGAACCCAGGGCACGGCTGGCTGTATAAACAGTAAGTATCGTGGGTGATTCTGCAGGTGCCCGACTCTGTTCTTCTAACAATAGCAGGATTCAGCTGTCAGTTCAGCTGATACAGAGAGATACATTCAGGTACAATGTGTATAGAGTTGGCACGGTCCAATAACATTCAATACAAATATTACATCCTAACGAGTGCTTATTGTATTCAGATTATTTAGCATAAACTGTTATGTAACTTTCATAAGCACATATTTTAATGTTTTGATTTGATGCACATCTCTCTCTCTCTCTCTCTCTCTACCAGTATCTCTGTCTCTCTGTCATTCTGTCCCTCTGTATGTCCTTCTGTCCATCTGTCCCTCTGTCTGTCAATCTGTGTCTCTGTCCCTCTGTCTATAATACTGTCTCAGGGTCACAGAAGAATTAAGATCAATGCAGAGTTCTAGGGAGGTGGCCAGTTTGGGTCACCCATTCACTCTTTATATCGGGATAATGTTTTATGTTTCCTTGTCCCCTGTTTAATCCCTGCGCCCTAGGCAGTTACCTCAGGTCACTTTATGGATAAATGCAAATTGAATTGCAAATCAGTAAGCCACATTTAAAAAAATAGGTGACTTGGATTTCATTTTGAACTCAAAACAGTTCACGGTTTAGTAAATAACCCAAACAGTCTACAATTCAATCAGCAGACATTGTCACCTTTTCCCATTAATGGATTACAGCCGATTTATTTTGCTGTCAGATTATCCAGTTCTGTTCCCTTTCCTGTCGGTAATCCCATCTCACAGTTAATATTCCACTCAATCATCGAATTTGTTTTTTATTTGTAGCATTTGACAGTTTGCTGGTTGAAACCAGAATAAATACGCTCGCTTCCTCCCAAACATCATTACTTGGGGAATCAAGGTTCTCTTAGCAGCTAAACAAAATGAAAATACATTAATATTTTAACTCTAATGATTGTTTTCAAAGCTTGTCTGCTTGTCATTTTAAATGTACATTGTGAGCTTACAAAGGGGTTTGGGATTTGCGTCTGAGCGCATTGTGTAAACGGACTAGACCAATCAAATATTCAGCAGCAAACGTTTCAGCGCATCTGTTCTGGTGATGACTCAATATGACAAATAAAAGTTTAATATCACCAAACATTTGGGAGTTAGTGATCCTGAGCCGTTTAAGCAGTAACCCATTGAGTATATAAAGCCAAGTATTACAGTCAGGAAGTAAAGACCATTGTGTACAAGTAAATGGAAAGTTAGTCCTTGGGCTGTTCAAGTATCACACGTGTCATGATAAAGCAGTGGCAGAGACTAGTTGAACCAGTCTGGTAGAAGCTCATTTCTTTGAAGACTGAGAACATTGAAAAATAGCGTAGAAAATTGACAGGGTAATTTACTAAAGTGACAATTCAAAGTGAATTTGCTGACCATTTGGCTATTTTGAACTTAAAGGGATACTATAGTCACCAAAACAACTTTAGCTTAATGAAGCAGTTTTGGTGTATAGATCATGTCCCTGCAGCCTCACTGCTCAATTCTCTGCCACTTAGGAGTTGAATCACTTTGTTTATGAACCCAAGTCACACCTCCCTGCATGTGACTTACACAGCCTTTCTAAACACTTCCTGTAAAGAGTCCACTAAAGTTTATCCTTCCTTTATTGCAAGTTCTGTTTAATGTAGATTTTCTTATCCCCTGCTATGTTAATAGCTTGCTAGAGCCTGCAAGAGACTCCTGTATGTGTTTAAAGTTCAATATACAGAGAAAGAGATACAATTGTTTGAGGTAAATTACATCTGATCGAAAGTGAAACAAGTTTTTTTTCATGCAAGCTGTGTCAATCAGAGCCTGGGGAGGTGTGACAAGGGCTGCATAAACAGAAACAAAGTGAATTAACTCCTAAATAGCAGTGAATTGAGCAGTGAAACCTGTGTATGATCTATACACTAATACTGCTTCATTAAGCTAAAGTTGTTTAGGTGACTCTAGTGTCCCTTTAATTTTGAAATTCACTTTGAATTCCCACTTTAGTGATTAACCCTGTCAATTAAGGTTCTGTGTAGATCCCGCAAATCACTCATCGGGTTAGCTATATATCACAAGAATTTATAACCCTTTTTATGACCCTGCTATTAGCTCCTGGTTAATCCTTATCTAGGTTCCTTAGAATGAATATAATATGTTAAAATACAAAGGAACACTATAGTGTCAGGAACACAAGTATGTATTACGGACACTATAGTTTTTAAATTGCCGTTTAGGTGACTGCCCCATTTCTCCTTAGTTTAAAAAGGTGTTAAACTCACCTTTTTGTCAGTGCCCGCTCCACTTCCTTGGCTAGGATTATCAAATTTGAAAATCGCAGCCAATCTCTCATAGGAAAGCATTGGGAGGCTATTGCGCATGCGTGGTAAAACACCACGCTGCGCCAATCAGCATCTCCTCACAGAGATGCATTAAATCAATGTGGCGCGATCAGTGTCTCCATGCAGAGTATCTGACTGACTGCTACTAGTATCTGAGGTGTCACTAGGCAGTAATGTACACACTGTATTTTCTCTTTTTCTCAATAGGCAGTGTTTATATTAAAAAGCCTGCAGGGACATGGTATAAACTCCAGAACCCTATATTAAGCTGTATACTATACATTAAGCTGTATACTGTACATTAAGCTGTATACTATACATTAAGCTGCATACCGTAGAGTAAGCTGTATACTATACATTAAGCTGTATACTATACATTAAGAGGTATATCGTACATTAAGCTATATACTATACATTAAGCTGTATACCGTAGAGTAAGCTGTATACTATACATTAAGCTGTATACTGTATATTAAGCTGTATACCGTACATTAAGCTGTATACTATACATTACGCTGTATAACGTACATTAAGTTGTATACCGTACATTAAGCTGTATACTGTACATTAAGCTGTATACTATACATTAAGCTGTATACCGTACATTAAGCTGTATACTATACATTACGGTGCATACTGTACATTAAGCTGTATACCGTACATTAAGCTGCATACTATACATTAAGCTGTATACCGTACATTAAACTATACACTATACATTAAGCTGAATACCGTACATTACGCTGTATAGTGTACATTACGCTGTATACTGTACATTACGCTGTATACTGTACATTAAGCTGTATACCGTACATTAAACTATACACTATACATTAAGCTGAATACCGTACATTACGCTGTATAGTGTACATTACGCTGTATATTGTACATTACGCTGTATACTGTACATCACGCTGTATACTGTACATTAAGCTGTATACCGTACATTAAGCTGTAGTTGTTCTGGTGACTATAGTGTCCCTTTAAACTGAACTCAAATCAGTAAGACCATTTGGCATCTGGGTGAAGATTATTTTTGGCGCCCCCAACTACTCTTTAAAATATCCCAAATGTTTCCCACTCATGACTCGTGGATGAGCATTATGGGAAGTATAGTCCTCAGACATCATGGGAAAGGTGGTCACTAGTAATGAGGAATACTGTGGCACGTCACGTTTGTGGACAGGTTTTCCATAATATTAAGCTGAGCATCACAAGAAGGGAATTAAATCCATTCGATATCTAACTTCACTTTGAATTCCCGGTGAATTCTCTACAGTTTACACTTTACTTACTGAATAATCCTGTTATTGTTAAACTCCGCTGTTAATTCCCTGCAATTCATGGTTTAGTAAATACCAGGATTATTCACTAAGGTGAGGATTCACAGTGAATTCAAAACGAATTTCAAAGTTAAGGCCAGAGCAATCAAACTTAAAGCATAGCTGACTTTTTGAAGTTTAGTAGCTATTTTGACCTTAAATTTAAAATTCTCAATGAATTCTCATTTTAGTTACTTACAATGTTTAGAAGTGGTTGCAAAATCAGCAGTGATACTTGTTGGATATCCTTTTCCCTGTGTATCTATCGTAACCGTATTACAAACAAGAGACACACTGTTATTCACCAAAATATACATTAAAAGGGAGTTTTAAATTGTGGGTCAGAAAATCCAAAATAAAACAATTCTCTAAATGAGCTGTGCTTCCAGTTTGTTACATTGAATTGACTTTGCATTCCTGATAGTTTGCAATTTATCGAATAACACTGTGAGAATCAGTTCCCTGGTTCTACATCCTGTTATTTGAGTACAACCTCTGTCACAATCAAAGCTCAGGGTGCGGCTCTGCCAAACAGCAAACCCTTTCCTTGCCAGATGAAGGCTGCCTGTTTTTTTGTCAATTAAGGTACATCCCTTCCTATTATAGAACTACATATTCCAAGATACATTGTGGTTCTTCAGGCTAGCAATGGCATCACGTTAGTGGTAAAGAAAGACATTATTTATCATTTTACTGCAAAATAGATACGTAATATTAATATTTAGCAGTACACTGATTGGTCGATTGGGTTGTCTGAAATGTTTTTTTCTAAAATGTTCACATCGACAAAATTATTCTAAAACAAAATGCCATATGGATAAATCCTGCTTCACACCTAATTTTTTTTTTTTCAGACAAATGTATTCAAACGAATCCTCAGAGCACAAGTCTAGCATTTATGTAGTTAAAGGGATTCTATAGTGTTAGGAGCACAAACCTGTATTCCTAACACTATTGAGCCATCTGGACCCCCTTCCCTTCTGTCCCCTTCTCTGGCAGATAAAGAGTTAAAAAACCCTTTGGTCACTTGCACAATTCCATCTGTGATCTCCCTCAGCACTGGGTTGACGCTCCGCCTTCCCCAACGTCATCCGATGGGGGGACCTTATGCACATGCGCAGTGAACGCCACATGTGCATTAGGCCCTCCCATAGGAAAGCTGAATACTTTTCATTGCTGATTTCACTGATACACATTTCACTGATGCGTGAGGACGTCCAGTATCGCTTAAGGGACTCAGAGTCTGTTAGAATTCAAGAAACGCCTATGGTGGCAGTCCCTAAAGTTTTACATTGCAGGACTAAGTGGGAGAGGGACAATGTACCCAGACCATTCAGTGAGATGTAATAGTCTGGGTGCCTATAGTGTCCCTTTAAGAGGCTTCTGGCTGTATGGAATTGAACTGAAATGATTTTATCTTTAAAATGTGACTATCCGCAGTTTAGAGATTTATTTTAAAAAGTGCTGTCATTCCAATGATGGAAAAATATATGTACGCTATATTTATGTGGCCCCTGTATTTATAAGTTCAGGGAGCCCTTTAAATAGCTCTGCTGCTATAGGTCGGTCTCTACCCCTCCCCCACAGAGCCATTATTTCAGAGCTCTATGTCTTCTCTGATTGGATTGCTGTGTTATGCCCCTCCCAGCAGGGTGTTTTAAAGGGGGCTCTGCCATGTGGTCAGAGACATACACCATATACTGCATCTCACTGCATGTTTCACTGTATGTCCCAATGAGGTTCACTATATCTCACAGTATGTCTCACTGGATGTCTCACAGCATCTCTCACTGTATGTCACACTATGTGTCTCACAGCATGTCACACTGTATCTCACTGTATGCCTTACAGCATGTCTCTCTGTATTTCACTGCGTGTCTCTCTGCATAATGTTCTATTGTTACAGATATATACCAATGAGTATCTGACACACCCAAATCATAAGCTAAAATAAGTCAATGTAACGTTGCATTAACAATGTCCCTTATAGAGAAATAATTAGGGATTAATAGGTTAAAGCAATACTCTATATGCTCACATATAAACACCATGTGTATTAACACCACGCTTTACCCAAATGTACAGAAACATCCCATAACACCAATCTGTGTAAACACACGTGCAGTGTTTATATACAACTCACGATACATCTATAGACACAGGACTGGAAGCCAAATGTACCCAAGTGACACCAACCAAAGCAAGCAGGGCAAACATGATAATCGTGGCTGTGATTCGGGATTCCACGGCACCAAAAACAGATGATTGTTAGCAAGGGGACAGTCACTAAATACGGAATTCATTCACTGATCAAGTGACCAAGAGAGGGAAAAATGGAAAGAAAATCAATATACGGTATTTCACAAAAGTGAGCACACCCCTCACATTTTTCTAAATATTTTATTATATCTTTTCATGTGACAACTCTGAAGGAATGACACTCTACTACAATGTAAAGTAGTAAGTGTACAGCCTGTATAACAGTGTGAATTTACTGTCCCCTCAAAATAACTCAACACACAGCCATTAATGTCTAAACCGTTGGCAACAAAAGTGAGTAAGTGGAAATGTCCAAATTGGGCCCAAAGTGTCAATATTTGTGTTGTCACCATTATTTTCCAGCACTGCCTTAACCCTCATGGGCATGGAGTTCATCAGAGCTTCACATGCTGCCACTGGAGTCCTCTTCCGCTCCTCCATGACGACATCAGGGAGCTGGTGGATATTAGAGGCCTTGTGCTCCCCCAGCTTCCTTTTGAGGATGCCCCACAGATGCTCAATAGGGATTAGGAATGGAGACCTGCTTGGCCAGACCATCACCTTTACTGTCAGCTTCTTTAGTAAGGCAATGGTCGTCTTGGAGGTGTGTTTGGGGTCGTTATCATGTTGGAATACTACCCTGCGGCCCAGTCTCCGAAGGGAGAGGATCATGCTCTGCTTCAGTATGTCACAGTACATGTTGGCATTCATGGTTCCCTCAATGAACTGTAGCTGCCCAGTGCCGGCAGCACTACTGCAGGCCCAGACCATGATACTCCCACCACCATGCATGACTGTAGACAAGACACACTTGTCTTTGTACTCCTCACCTGGTTGCCGCCACACACGCTTGACACCATCTGAACCAAATAAGTTTATCTTGGTCTCATCGGACCACAGGACATGGTTCCAGTAATCCATGTCCTTAGTCTGCTTGTCTTCAGCAAACTGTTTGTGGGCTTTCTTGTGTATAATCTGTAGAAGAGGCTGCCTTCTGGGATGACAGCCATACAGACCAATTTGATGCAGTGTGCGTCGTATTGTCTGACCCCCAACCCTTTCAACCACTGCAGCAATGCTGGCAGCACTCATACGTCTATTTCCCAAAGACAACCTCTGGATAAGACGCTGAGCATGTGCACTCAACTTCTTTGGTCGACCATGGCGAACCTGTCATGTGAAACCGCTGTATGGTCTTGCCCACCGTGCTGCAGCTCAGTTTCGGGGTCTTGGCAATCTTCTTATAGCGTAGGCCACCTTTATGTAGAGCAACAATTCTTTTTTTTTCAGATCCTCAGAGAGTTCTTTGCCATGAGGTGCCATGTTGAACTTACAGTGACCAGTATGAGAGAGTAACAGAGCGATAACACCAAATTTAACACACCTGCTCCCCATTCGACCTGAGGCCTTGTAACACTAACGAGTCAAATGGCACCAGGGAGGGAAAATGGCTAATTGGGCCCAGTTTGGACATTTCCACTTAGGGGTGTACTCACTTTTGTTGCCAACGGTTTAGACATTAATGGCTGTGTGTTGAGTTATTTTGAGGGGACAGTAAATTTACACTGTTATACAGGCTGTACACTTACTACTTTACATTGTAGCAGTGTCATTTAGTCAGTGTTTACAAAATATTTATAAAAATGGGAGGGGTGTACTCACTTTTGTGAGATACTGTACATGTTTATTAAGTATATAATTTATAAAAGATAGTTTTACTAATCCTCCTGTTTTCCTCTCTATTTGTTACTTTTTCTCATTTGATGTGTGACCAAATGGCAACAAAATGTTCCTATCAGTGTACTGCAAAATATATACATTATTTTATATCTCAGTTAGAAAATTCTGCCGAGCTGAAGCAACATATGGACAAAATTTGGGCATCCTCAATATTTTTTTACCATCTGGGAAAATGCATTGGTGGAGCTGAATCTTCTCGCCATTGTCAATATACACAGAAACACAAAATGTATGTGTGTATATATATATATACTGAGCTAATCTCAGTACAAATTTATACACCCAGATAATCTTAGTAAAAATATATATACACCCAGCTAATCTCAATACCTATATATAAACTCAGCTAATTGTATTACTTACACATACACCCAGCCAACCTTGATACCTATATATTCACTTAGTTAATTTTAGCACGGATATATACACCCAGCTACATTCATATATTGCTAGGGCACTCAATGCAAATGAGGAGGAAAAATATTAACATTGTTTCATTCCTCCTTTTCTCTGTATGCTCTCTCTCTGCTGACTGCCAGGTGCAAAGGACAGAACTTATAACAATGACTGACTGGGAGTCAAGATGGAAGGCGCCCAGTTACAGGGTAAAGATATGTTGAATTCTACATTCAACTTTTTATTTTTCACATATATATATATATATTTGGAAAGTATACGGTATAAGTAGTCATATTACTTAGTAATTAAAGGGGACCTGCCTTTAAACTGTTGTGAACTGTAACGCCTGTGACTCTCAGCCAGTATTTACAAGTATCCTTTTAGCTTTTGTCCTCCCTATATCTAGATCACCTCGGTCCCTAAGAGCCGTCTAAGGTCCCTAACTCTAACTACCCATAAAGCCACAGACTCCCTCAGCGTTAACCTAACTATAATCCTAATCTCTGCCATTAGCAGTGCTCTGCTAAACACCCGCATTGCCAAGCGTGGTGCTATGCTGCTACCAACCCAAGAACACATTAACCCCTTAAGGACACATGACGGAAATATTCCATCACGATTCCCTTTTATTCCAGAAGTTGTGTCCTTAAGAGGTTAATGGCAGTTGATTTAAAAAAACAGCATTTAAAGTTTATCTCAATGGGGGTATAAACCCAAATAAATTCAATGTGTGTGTGGATGTATCTCTCTCTCTCTCTCTCTCTCTCTCTCTCTCTATATATATATATATTTACCCATGATGTCTCTCCATATTCAGGGGTTAAAGATGTATTCTCTCATGTGTTATGTTACAATCCATGGCATACGGGGTTAATGGATAACAACATTGTGTGCTTGCTGTTGATAAGTTACAATGTAGGCATTTCTCAGGCCCAGAAAGTTAACTTATTAACAAATCCCTTTATACCAGCGTTTTCACCACTTTAACATTTTAAGACCAAAATCTGCTTTCACTTCTCCGACTGTGACAGAGGAGACGGCCGTCCTAACAACAGTTACCATGAATTCCTATTTAACAAAGAACAGGCATAACGTCACCTCAGGTGGGGGGGGGGATTGTTTACTCAAAAAAAAAATGCATATAAAGTCCACCTGGCTGTGCCAGACCATGCTGGGCTTGGCTATAGCAAATCCTGCTACCCTCTACAAGACATCGGAGTACAGTGCAGGGAACACCCTGATGGGGAGGGAGCCTGGAGCAAATGGAAAATCAATATAAAGATTCGACAGAAAATATTGTGCCTGTGGCCACATTTCTCAGTCCCTACTGAGTGCTAAAAGGTTATTTTTTAATGTATAAAAGTAGCAGATTGGATTTAGTATTTTACTTTGTGGATTTTAGAATTCCTCACGCATTTAAAGTGGAAACAACATGCATATTAACGCGGAGTTATTCACTTATCTGACAGCTGACATGGCTTTAATAAATTAAAGGACAAAACTGCATATTTAGTAAAATTATTCAACTCAGCTTGTATTTAGTTTAAAATTTCCCATCCCCGTTTTCAATTCTCAACCACATCAGATTTACTGAATAAGCCAAACTGTGTCACGGACGGTATAAACTGCGCCATTTTTTTGGAAAGGTTTCTTGTGTCTATGTCAAAAACATTAGCAGAGCCTGTATGGGCATGCCAGTGTTATGAATAGGAACTGAGCAGCCAATCAGAGTTTTGCAGATCTGAGTCTGTCTCCTGGCAATCTGGGTTTGTTGGAACCATCACTATATTTGTGAGCGTTATTGGACGTGTCCGTGGCATTTCTGAAGTAAGACCATTTGCAGGCTGGCATCATTAAAGGGACACTATAGAAGTGCTCTGGTGCAGTGTCCCTGCTCCACTTACTCCTGCTATGTAAATTATTGCAGTTGTAGCAAAACTGCAATGATTACATTGCAGGACTAAGACTGCCTCTAGTGGCTGTCAATCAGACAGCCACTTAAGGCACTTCCTGCTTACTAAGCGACTTGTGGTAACCTAACTGATGCTGGACGTCCTCAAGCTCTGCATGAGAACATCCAGCGTCAGTGAAGTCCCCATAACAAATCTATGATTCAATACTTTCTTATGGGGACGGCCTAAGTCGCTCACTGCACATGTGCATTAGCCCCCCCATCGTATGACGTTGTAGGTGGAGGAGGACCCAGCCCAGCAACTTTGTATTCCTTACTCCATAGAATCCCCTTTAAGCCCAGAGGGTAAAGTCACCCATATTATTCAATAATGTGATAACCATAATATTTTTAATAAGAAGAATATTTGGGGTGAAGGGGGAGGAGGGGGGCTTCCTGTGCCCTTTAACTCTCTCTGAATGAAAATAACTTATGGCAAGAATTTGCTCTGATTTAGACATTATTAGTACTTGGTGTTTATAATCAATATACAATACAGTAAACAATAAAGAGTAGTAAGGTGACATTTACAGACATATTTACTAAAGTGTGAATTCAAACCGAATCTCAAATTTAAAAGGACACTATAGTCATTAAAACAACTTTAGCTTAATTAAGCTATCTTTGTCTATAGATCATGGTCCTGCAGTCTAACTGCTCAATTCTCTGCCATTTATGAGATAAATCACTTTGTTTACTTGAACAGCCTTCCTAAACTCTGTAAAGAGTCATCTAATGTTTACGCTTCCTTTATTGCAAATTCTGTTTAATTTTGCAATTCTTATCTCCTGCGTCGTTAGCTTGCTAGACCCTGCAGAAGCCCCCTATATGTAATTAACATTCAATTTTCAGAGCAGGAGTTAAAAACCTTTCAAGTAAGTTACTTCTGATCGAAAATGAAACCATTTTGTTTTCATGCAGGCTGTGTCAGTCACAGCCAGGGGAGGCGTGGCTAGGGCTGCATAAACAAACAAAAGTGATTTAACTCCTAAATAGCAGTGACTTGAGCAGTGAGACTTCAGAGGCATGATATATACACCAAAACTGCTTTATTAAGATAAAGTTGTTTTGGTGACTGGTGTTCCTTTAACCCCTTAAGAACCAAACTTCTGGAATAAAACGGAACCATGACATGTCACACATGTCATGTGTCCTTAAGGGGTTAAAGCTAAAGTAGCCAGTCTGAAAGCATAACTAACTAGAATTTATCCAGTTTTCTGTTATGGCCTTGCATTTAAAATTCACTTTGAATTCTTACTTTAGTGGATTAACCGGTTCTTGATAATGCAATTGATTATTTTGGAAGGCCATTTGGCTTGTGCAAGTTTGTCGAAGTAAAATGTAAATCTCTGATACAATTTACCGTACTGTACCGTACTGCTGACATTTGTTTGTGCAAACATCTGAAATATAAATCAGTTTAACTGAATACACAGGAGCCTAAATCTGAGCCTCTGAAGTACAGCCGTGGGGGGGCCACAGACACATTGGGAATTCAGATTAATAGTGCATTTCTTAAAGATGCATAAAGTTAATTGACTGATTAATGGTGTATTAACTCTCTGTCAGTTCTATGGAGACCTGGGTTTGATATTTCTAAATAAATCATACAGATTGCGTGTAATCAAGCAACAAATTGTGAACCTGATAGTGGGATAGCCAAGGTCAAGACAGCTAGAAAGTAGAATAAACAAAAATGCCAAGCCAGGTCAAGGGACATCGTAAATCAGAGTCAATGATAAACTAGCAAGAATTAGTAAGAGAAGATTAAGGAACAAAACATGCAAGACGATCAGAATACCACAATAGGGCAACTAAGGCAAGACTGGTCTATTAGTGATTGACAGGTGTCAGAAACATCTGTCATTCGGCTGGGCTGAATGGCGTTCGTGTGCATGTGCAGAGTTACCAATCCTCGCTCTGCATGGCAAATCATTGGAAGCTGGATTCTGTATGACTGGCTGCGAAAGATCGAGCGGCACAAGATGAGCACCCCCAGTCAGCCATGACAGAAATCCAGAATCTTTTCATTCTTCCTACAGTTAACTTACGCTGTACCTGCAGTATGCAATCCCCAGCGCCCTCCTAATGTGCATGGCCAACAATACATAGACGAGAACTGATCAATTATCTGATTATCGGGATCTGTAGATCTCCTTCACAAATCGAAGCCATAGTAGAGGACGTATGGAGGCGATCATTGTTTAACAATAGTTAGAATTACCATGCACGTTTTAAATGGGATCTATGACACTCAGAGCGCAGGGGTCTAACTGCGATATATGAAGCCACAAGTTACCAGCAAAGTCATCTCAGACTCTCATCCTTCGAAGCATAATAAAATTATTATTTTTTGAAATAATAACATTCAGACCCCAAGATTTACTCAGAAACTAGCAAAAAAACTGATTTATAATATCATTTATAATATCATATGAACATAGTGAACATAATAAACAACTTTAAAAAGCCAACTAAGAATTAAAATGGCGGTGTCACCATACATAAAGTTAATCTAATCTGCGTCTGTGTAGCTCCCTGCGTCCGAATCTGTTTCCATAGCGATCTCGTTCATAAAACACAAATGGAAAAGCAGGGTCTAATTTGCTAACATATAGCAGTGAAGTCGAGAAAAAATAAACGCGAGAAAAGGCGGAGCTTAAAGCAAGGTTTTGTTTCAGTTACCAATCAAATCTACCCACAATCCATCAGTGCACAAAATGGCTGCCCCCGGGTATTGATATTCAGGGAAGAAAAATATTAATAAATATAATTAAATGCAAGTGGCTATGAGGGGTGTATAATCATTAAAATATAGAGTGCATAACGAATGAAAAAAATCTTTAAAAAATACAAATTACAGAAACGTTTTAAAACAATCGTGTTTCCTGCTATTCTATATGTACAGAGCTGTAAGAATACTTTATCCCATTATGTGAAGCAGCTGCCTGGGGATATGTTCAACCCTGCGGAGGGTGGAGGTCCTTGCATTGGTTCCAGTGACATTGGGTGTCAACCAGAGCTAATATGCATGATCTACAATGGTAAAAACAGAGTTTGTCCCTAAACATACAAGACACCATCGCCCTGAATGTGGGAACCCAGGGTCCAACTGCTGCTGTCCCACTTTTATAATACTTTTTACAACGACAGCGATACTTGTGTCTGTATATAATAACTATAAACACAGATGGAAATATTAGATAATATTAGAAGGCAAAGACTGCAGTATTTTCTAAATTAAACACAGCCCAACAAACTGATTTTTCAACCTAGAAATCATTGTCGTTGTTGCTCGGTTTCTATAAATTGATCAAAACATAATTTTATATACATTGTATGCTAATCTCCATTCCAGCATTTTTCAGATCAACGTGGAAGAGGTATTAAACAAATAAAATATACAAAAAATACACTCAAAAAACAATAACCAAGTAGACGTAGCATATGTACGCAGCTTTGAGAAAAACGATGATCTCAGTCAGTAGTGACACCGACTATGACCTGGTGACTAAGCTGTCATTTCTCTCACAGCTGCTTTAACCTTAAGCAAACAGTTCTTGTGAGCTTTTGGCTGAAAAAAATGGATTGCAAGCTCCTTCAAACAAGACAACACCCAGGTTCTGACAAATGCGTGTTCCAATAATTTTCTAAACTGAGGTAAATGATAATCTCTCAATCAGAATCCAAAACACTGCGAATCTCTGGGTATGTAAGTAGCAGCCTTTCTTTATTACACACAACATAATCTCATTATTCCTAGGATTATTTTTATTATGCCATAAAGTGCGAGAGATCAAGGAGGCGAAACGTACAATCAGCACAAGATATGGAAACTGTGAAATCTTCTGTGTCCAACAAGATATGCTTAACCTGTGTTGATCCTATTTGGGTTTGGACATTTCTAAAGAATTCAGTGAAGGTGTCAATCTCTCGTCAAGGGGGGTCCTGCCTTAAAAAAAAACAAAATAACACAGGGAAACAAAAATTCTCCAAACCGTATTTCTTACCTGCAGCCTGTTCGCTCAGCACCAATATTGCTCTAGAGCCTCTACTGAGATTGGAAGAGCTCCCTTTACCTGTAACCTGAGCTTAGAGTGAACTGCCCTGATCCTCCCACCTGTATGGCCAGCCCACAGCTAAGGGGCCACCAGGTGGACTTTCCAGTAATCCCTACCAGTCAGTAGAATGTATTATGTGCCAAGCCTGCATTTCTGACATTGCATTGACTGCTGAGTGGGACTACAGTAAAGCTTTCACTTTAAGGGGTTTATTTACTCAAAAAAGGAGAGAAAATTATATTCACATAGGTGTACTACACATTTGAAGCCGAGGCATAGAAAGTGCATTAAGAGAAATATATTTGCAAAATGAGTTCTCCAATTTTATCCATATCATAGGTTGATAGGCTATAATCCTGTCCTATTGAGGACGGCAGCAACACAAGTTTTATACATTAAACAAAATTTAAAAAATGTGTAACTGGTGCTTGAAACAAGAAGATAATTTAATATCAGAGTATTCATACAGAAAGGGGTTAAATAACAAAAGAAAAGAGACATAGGAAAACACATTTTAGGCCGAATAAAAAAAAAAATTCCCCCCAGATTTGTTATTTCAGACTAAAATTAGCACTTTCCTTGTCATATATCCATAATTCTTATCTTAGCGAATCACCCAATATTTTGATCACTGTAGGCAGTGATCGACTGGCAGAGAAGGGGTTCATTTTTATTTGGACTGTCTAAAGGGGGGTGTTTTTTTATTTTTTACTTAAATGTTAAATGTCTTTTTTTAACTTAATTTTGAACTTTTTAAAGCTTATTTTAAAAAACTTTTTAACGTTAACCCCTAGCTAGCCTAACACAAAATCCCCCAATTCCCCACTAACTTCCACCCACCTCAGCTAGCTAAATTTATAATTTTAAAATACTTAATAAAATAAAAGAATTAACCCTCAGGGGTTAAAAAAAAATCAGATCATAGTAAAATGTAATCCCTGCCAATTGATCACTGTAGTCAGTGATCAATTGGCAGGGAGGGGGTTAATTTTTTTTAATTAAAATGGGTAAAGATGGGTGGGATTTTAAATTAACTTTATTTTTTTTTTCTAACAGGGACAAGATCAGTGATGATCCATCTCCCTGCACTTCACACAGAACCAGAAAGTGCAGGTAGGCGAAAAGGTGAGTATATGGAGCACATGTGCTCGCTCTGACAGCCTGGTGCACCGGTGCTGGGGCAGTGAGATCAGGTGCTCCTGGTCTGCCTCTAATACAGAGGCAGACCGAAGCACCATTAACCCCGCGATTACCGCGATCTGGGGTTAATTTTACCGCGTGACGGACGAGGTCCGTCACTAGTCGTTAAGCGTTAACCCTAAGTCATAGAGAATCTGCCCATTTACCCTAAGACATAGACAATCTGCCTATTCATCCTAAAACATAGAGAATCTGCCTATTCACCTTAAGACTCAGAGAATCTGCCCATTGAGTACAGGACTCTGGCTGATCTTTCCCTCCTCTCTGAGATTGTAGCTAATCTCCCAGTTCACCCCTAGAATCTGCCCATCCACTCTGAGACCTGGGGTGTCAATGTGTTTGTTCACGTGTAGGATCTGCCTATTCCCTCTGAGAAGCTTGGTAATGTGTCAGCAGAGCACTAGGCGCGAGCCATATCTTGCCTAGTGCTTTGGAATGCAGGTGTGGCCATTAATCACCTTCCATGCAGGGAAGAGATATTTCTTCCACTGCCCGAGGGATTGAGAAAGATTCAGAGGAAGACAGAGAAACCAGTTAACCACACCTCTCGCACACTGTCACCTAATGTAAGGTGTATTAGTGTTAATAATTGTTTATATTCTGCCAGTGACTAAACAAAAAAAATGTTTTTGTTTATAGATTATTTTAATATTTTTTGTTTTACGTTTGTGTTAACTCTTGTGCAAATTAATATCCCCCTTACAACTGTAAATCTTGTTCAAATGACCCACTCAACTAAGAGACACATTGAGAGCGATTTGCCGTATATTTAGTAATACCTAACAGTATCTAGCAAATATGTCCCCCAGTGACCTCACTGAGTAAATATTTACCTATTACATCTATCACCTATCACTAAACAAACTGCACAGGTAAATAATATAGAGTAGTGACAATGATATTATAGAGCGATGACAACATCTTATGTCAGTCGTAATTGGTGTATGTGATGATGACATTTAGGGGAGAAAGGAATAGATGCATTTGAGAAAGGGAGATGGGAACAAACATGTGGGGAGATGGGGCAGACTTACTTGGGAGGGGAGATGGGGACAGACATGTGGGGAGATGGGGCAGACTTATTTGGAAGGGGAGATGGGGACAGACATGTGGAGGAGATGGGGACAGACATGTGGGGAGATGGGGACAGACATGTGGAGGAGATGGGGACAGACATGTGGGGAGATGGGGCAGACTTATTTGGAAGGGGAGATGGGGACAGACATGTGGGGGAGATGGGGACAAACGTGGGGAGATGGGGCAGACTTACTTGGGAGGGGAGATGGGGACAGACATGTGGAGGAGATGGGGACAGATGTGGAGGAGATGGGGACAGACATGTGGGGAGATGGGGACAGACGTGGAGGAGATGGGGACAAACGTGGGGAGATGGGGACAGACTTATTTGGGAGGGGAGATGGGGACAGACATGTGGAGGAGATGGGGACAGACGTGTAAATGTGCCTGTTTAGATGTAGGTTTTGTAAAGCGCCCCACCAGGAGAAACTTGATATCTGACCCCACGAGGTACAATATGCTTGTCCCAACTGTTAGCATTCGTTGACCATAGGAATATTGTTGGTTTTGGCAGCTTACGAATCCAGAATGATGTCATAAGCCTCTCTCAGTCCATTTAAGCTATTGCTTATAAAATTGATAATGTAGTAAAGGTTTATACCGTATATTGGAAAACTTTGCTCCAACTGTTATTATTTATTATTGATAATGCTTTAACATATTCCATAGAGCTGTATCATTTTGGGAATATAGACACAACAAAATACAAACATTACAGTACAAAAGGAATGAGGGGACCCTGCACACAAACTTAAAATCTAGGATTTACAGAAAGTTTATACAAGGTTCCAGCAATATGGCTTGTGAGCTTACAATTTAGAGGAAAAAGAGAGATTAAAGGGACACTATAGTCACCCAAAAAACATCAGCTTATTGAAGCAGTTTTGGTGTATAGATCATGCCCCTGCAGCCACACTGCTCAATTCTCTGCCATTTAGGAGTTAAATCACTGTTTATGTAGCCCTAGTCACACCTCCCTGCATGTGACTTGCACAACCTTCCTAAACACTTCCTGTAAAAAGTCATCTAAAGTTTATCCTTTCTTTATTGCAAGTTATGTTTAATTTAGATTTTCTTATCCCCTGGGATGTTATTAGCTTGCTAGACCCTGCAAGAGCCTCTTGTATGTGATTAAAGTTCAATTTACAGAGCAAGAGATACAATTGTTTAAAGGTAAATTACATCTGATTGAAAGTGAAACTAGTTTTTTTTTTTCATGCAGGCTCTGTCAATCATAGCCAGGGGAGGTGTGACAAGAGCTGCATAAACAGAAACAACGTGATTTAACTCCTAAATGGCAGTGAATTGAGCAGTGAAACCTGAGAGTCATGATCTATACACTAAAACTGCTTCATTAAGCTAAAGTTGTTTAGGTGACTATAGTGTTGGTAATTATTTACGGCCACAGACATATATATATATATACTTGATCCTCTGGAATGTACGTTCGAAGAGCTTTATATTGTGAGAATCACAAGACCCAGACCTACATTTTGATGCATAGTATGTCTCTTAAGTATTAAAAGTGAAGGCACAGTCGCAGTTTAGAAATTGCCCTTCAAATTTGAGCTGGCTAGAGTGGAGTTTCAATGAATGTCAATGGACGGCGTTAGTTGCAAACAAATGATTATATTGTGGAAACTATCAGGACTATGGCTTAGCCGTGGACATTTTTAGTGGCAGCAGGGAGGGAGTGGTGGCAGTTTAGAAATCAGGTCCTGATTTTTCAGCTTTTGCCAGCTAGGGTGGTAAATTTGGCTATAATAATAATAATAATAATAATAATAACATATATGTGAAATAACATTAAGTGGTCTTGCTATGCAAGAACACTTAATAATAATAATGCAGACCAGCATGTTAAGTCCCTATTTACAAAATATGTCCGTACAATGTTATATTATTTGTATCAAGCTGACTTTGCCCTCCTGGCATTGACTGGATGGACCAGTGGGTTTAAGTGATCTACGATATTTTCATTGAAGGAGTTTATGGACTGCACTTCACATCATGCTCATCCAGTCTTTACAAGGACTCCTTAGCCAACACTGCCACTTACAGTTATGCACCTGTCTCAAGGGCCAGATTATGAGCCCAGTGGGCCTGGTGCTGACAATTATGATGGGCCTAATTACAGAATATTATCGACCAAAAACACTAAAACAGTCATACCTCCCAAGTGTCATGTATCTGATGGAGATAGTGATGGAGGGAAACTCAAAGGATGCAGCTATAAGAAAATACTATATGCTAATCTCTTTATCTAATTTATGCTTTCACTTTTCAAGTAAATCCATACCCCCTAACAGCAGTGTCCAGTGAAGCAGGAAGTCAATAGGCGGGGTAAAAGGGTGGGCCACTGACGCAAATCACGTGACCAGAACTGCCAAAAGGGTCGAACATGCCCAAAAAGAGGGCATGTCTGTCCAAAGAATTGGAAGGCCAGCCTGGCATCAGTGTCCCTATGTATCACAGTGTCAGTGTCCTCATTTCTCCCTGTGTCACTAGGATACTAGGAGACACAGTGAGACATGGGGCACAGTGAGACCCAGGGACACTGAGACACTTGGGGATACTGGGAGACATGGGGACACTGACACTTGGGAACACTGGGAGACATGGGGGCACTTGTGGATACAGACATGGGGACACTGGGAGACATGGAGACACTGAGACATTTGGGGACACTGGGAAAAATGGGGACACAGACACTGGGAGACATGGGGACACTGAGACACTAGGGACACTGCGAGACATGGAAACACAGACACTGGGAGACTAGGGGACACTGGGAGACATGGGGACACTTGTGGACATAGACATTGGGACACTGAAAAATTTGGGGA